GCGAAAACAAAGGCTGGGTAAGGACTTGAAAACTAGGTAAAGGTTTTTATAAATACCTTTAGTACGATTGTAATAAAAGAAGGGAGGTGCACAACTAGATGTTATTGCAATTTGCAAAGCCATATACAAAATTTTAACGTTCAACGGTTAATGGTTTTTCAGTTAGGAGAAATACATACGTACGTACAGATGTCACGAAAAGGTCCATTTTTAATCCATTTTACCATTCGTTTTAGAAAAAAGAGAGACCTTTAGTCTGTCCGTACAGACGTCACGTGCAAAAAAATAAATAAATAAAAAAATGTGAAAGTTAAATTATGTCCAAAGGGGCGTTTTTTTAATATTATTTGTGTGTCACCTTTATTTATTAAATATCATGTTCTTTGCACTTAAACCATAAAATTCGGTTCAAGAGCAATATCGCAAAATAATTTTAAAATGAGCATATGTTTAAAATTTCCGACACACAGTCTCGCGCGCTGGAGATAAAAATGTTTTTTCTGTACAACGTTGGTATGGCTCGCTTTGAAATCCTTGAGTTTGTTAATCGAAAATTCGTTAAATTGTTATAAAATCTGAAATCGATAATAAAACAAATTTCAAATTCAAATTAGGGCTTCTACATACCCATATTCTATGGAAGGTGACGTTATTCGAATTTTAATGGCTCTAGGTACCGCTGATTTATCCAAATGAGAGAAACATACATATATTCATGCAGATTCTTCATTATTTAATTTCTACACTAATACAGCGCGATAATATTTGGTGGCAACAATTTGAAAAGTGAAACAACGCAAAATGCCATACGAAATTAATAGTCCTTCTGGGAAAATTGCCCCTTTGGACCAAAAAATTCCAAATGGATTCGGGAACGGTCAAAATGGATATTTCCGTTTTGAAATATGATATTCGAAATTTTTCGGTAATGTAATACTTTAATTCTTACAAGGAAATAAAAATTATTCGTTGCTTTAGAATCTGAGATTCCCTGATATCACGTTAACAGTCATTAAATCGTTACGCGCTTTCTATATATGTCCTTAGCAGATTCGAAATATTTTTTTCCCTTCTGTATTTTGCTTATTTATTACTCAAAGCTCTCACAAAAGCCCATAGAATCCAAAACGATTACAACTGTACTTTCAACAAATATTTTGTTAACATGCAGCTGTATTCACTAAAACATTTTGGATTATAAAATAAGTGAAAAATCTCTTAAGGTGACAACTTCCGAAAATAACCAGTATTTCTGAAAATATAAATTAATATCGGTATTTATAATATTTCTTTTTGAGATGGCCGGTCCCAAACTCGACCTTTTTTTTTTTTTACAGCAAAATTTCTAATTTTGGTGCGCCTAGTTAAAACGTCTCAACTGGGAATTGGAAGAAAGAATTTCCCGAAGGGGCAGCTTTGTATTTTAAGATGTGTAGGCTCCATTTAGTAACAGACTTACAGGAAAGATCGCTTATGAAACATATGAAATCATGTGACCCAAAAGGATTCAAAACGCTTAATGTTGACATGATATAAGATAGTGGAATCAGCAGAAAACTTTCCTTGAAAATGTAAACATAAATCCAATAAAAATGTGCCCTCAATACACTCAAAGACAATGAGAATAACGTGGTTATATTTACATCTTTTGGAATAACAATATTCATTTTGGTACAGTCTCCTTTTTACCTTCCTCTAAAGCGGGTTGGTGTGACTTGTATTCAAGATTACCCTTGAATTTGTGTTCCTTTTTTTTCTTGAACGCAAAAGTCTGTAGTGTAGTCTTTTGAAAAAATTACATGTGCATACATATATGTATGTCTGTGTGTGTAACAGGAAAAGTAATTTAGAAGTACTGATGTATGAACACTGAAAAGCCGCAGAAATATTGATGGCGCAGCACGTAGATAGCGTAGGAACGTAGATCCACATTGAATAGGAAGACTTCTGATTGCGTAGAATGCTAAAATATCGAATCCGTAATGATTAGGAAACTTGGCAGCCGAGTAAGATTAAATATAATTTTTTTTTTTTTAAAATTTCAATTGACATTTGTAGCCACAATATACTTAGCACTATTATTATTATTATTATTATTGCAATGCCGGGCACTTGCCTATAATGGCACTGGTCACTTCTAAGGCCAGAAATGGTGGCCATTTTATTGTGGAGGCACGTAATAGACGGCCATCTTTGCTTCCTATGAACGGACAGACAATTTTACACCCATGCCTTCTCCGGGATTCGAACCCGGGCCCTTCTGTATAATTTTTTTTTTTTTAAATTTCAATTGACATTTGTAGCCACAATATACTTAGCACTATTATTATTATATTATGCAATGCCGGCACTTGCCTATAATGGCACTGGGTCACTTCTAAGGCCAGAAATGGTGGCCATTTTATTGTGGAGGCACGTAATAGACGGCCATCTTTGCTTCCTATGAACGGACAGACAATTTTACACCCATGCCTTCTCCGGGATTCGAACCCGGGCCCTTCTGTATCGTCTGGGCGGCCTAATCGGCATTCTAATCGTGCCTATCAAACATTTACATTTTTGAAACTGTTGCGAAAGTGGGAGAGCCCAGCAAAATAGCGTTCAAGTGTCAACAGAGGAAAAGCTAAAGTGCGCAATTATCTGATATGAAAGCTCACCAAGAGAAGGTTTTGGTTTAGGTTAAGAAAGATTTCAGTCTCAAAATTTTGAGTTCAAGTTCCGAATTATTACCTACGTCATCAGCGTTATGCAAGCCATATGGCATAGATTAATCTAAAAATGGCGCAGTTCAGAAAAGTTATTACTACTTTTAGAACACAGAGAGACAATATTTTTTATCTTACACACACAGAGACTTGAAGTACAGACGTCACGCAAAAAAACTGCCAAAACGGGCATTTCCGTTGAAAAATGGTACCCGGAATTTTTCGTGATTACAACACTTCCTTTACTTCGTACAAGGAAGTAAAAAATAATTGGTTTAAATTCAGACGAGTAGCATAAGCATTATTTTAATATTTATCCATTTAATGAACTCATTTTATAATATATAATATGCTGTGAAAGAAACATGGAATAGTGTAGACGGGGAACACGCGGCAAAGAAGGGTTGTAAAGCTGATGGTAGTAATTGCAGGTTGTTTGAGTAAAGGAATTCAAGCGAAGAGCGAAAGAACTATTGTCCAGCTAAATCAGCAGTTATTTAAAATTGACATCGAGACAAACTTTAAAGCAGATAATAAGTTACGTTAAATATTCGCAAAGAACATTTCTGAAATGCGTGTTTTTATTTCTAAAGAAAACACGCATTTCAGTGTAATTATTTCTAAAGAAGCGGAAACAGCCCTACTAGAAAGAAAAAGGCCGAAAATTCCAGCTATTCTCTTAAATAAAGATCTAAATTAGGTAAAAAAATTTAAATAATCAGTATTAATGAATATGATTATTGATTTAGATAAGAAATCATTAGGCTTTAATAAAAGGAAATGCTAAAGTAAAAAACGAAACTAAGTAGTCGGATAATTTGTATGAGTAATTTAAAAAGCAGCAAATTTTCTTCAAGTTAATGAGTAAAATTTAGAATTTAAGGCGTGTTTCATATTCTAAAATCTCATTCATTCATTATGCTTCAACGAATTGGCCATCTTTTTCTCCAGCTTTTTTGGTCCGTATTGTCCACTGATTTATTTCTCTTTGTCATTAATTTTATTAGTTTATAATATTAATAAAGCCTTATATTATAGTATTACTCTTTTAGTGCTTGACTCATATCAGAAACCTTGGGATAGGAAAGGTGCTATATAAATGAATAATCGTCATAACTGGTAATTATATTCTCTGAAGCGACCACTTGAACAAAAGACAAATCAAATCGTCTGAAACCGTGAGTGGTTGGTTGTTTTGAGGAAATTTTGCTATTTTATGTATACAACAATATCTTGCAATTTTTTGGTATTAAATTGGTAGAAAACGTGAATATAAATGAGAATATTTTACTGTAGTTTTTAAAAATATCATGCCGGGTTGGGGTAATAATCATGTAGGAATTAATTAAACATTATCCTGGTATTAATTTAGAAGTCAAAAAACAAAAATCAGCGTTATATTTGCAAATTTTCACAGGACTAGTTTCGATGGTTTTACAGAACCATCATCCTTAGCTGCCAAAATATAAATGAACAAAAATAAATAAGATATAATGACTAGATAAAATAAGAGTGTCTGGACAGGAGTTAAGCTACTGGAGCCATCTATTGATGAAACGAAAACTAAAACATAATTTCCTTAAAGGCTGAAGGCAAAGATGGATTGGAATTAGGGTCGTTAACTAGAACAGAAAGATTTTTTGAATGTGAAACGCCTCTAGAAAATCTAATACATCAATGGATGATGACATTCCAGCCATTCTTATCTTATCTCGTTCATTTTGCACTTTGGCAGTTGAGAATGATGGTTCGGTAAAACCATCGAAACTAGTCCTGTGAAAATTTGCAAATATACCACTGATTTTTGTTGTTTGACTTCTAAATTAATACTTATTTGGCGTATTGTTTTATGTTAATTATCCTGGTAACCCAAATGTTCTAATTAATGGAATATCTTTATGTGCATAATCATTTTATAATTATTTTTCCAAATAATTTAGTTCGTTCCAATCTTATTTAGTACGTTTTTCTGAATAGGAATAGCAATTATATATAATTTCGTAAAAGGCAGTAGGAATCGGTGGCTGATTCATTTTCAGCTGAACTTGAGTACCTAGTGGGTAACTTAACATCGTGAGTGAGTCGCATTAGAAGTTAACAGATTGTTGTAATGAGATAACCTCTTACCAGAGCTTGATTTTCCTACAAAATTGAAATAATAATAGCAGTAACACATTTTTAAATGAAATGACACTGGTAGAATGATGAATAACTAATACAAAAATGGAAATGCTAAACTTATTATATCTGAACATTAACGTAATTAAATGTCAATCCATGTTTTTCTATTTTCAGTCTACTTGGACTTGGAGATTATGCCCGAGACCTTACAGATCACATCACTGCACAGGCCTCTGTGGCCATGCAGCATATGATCCCTCAGGCAACAAGGGCAGTTAGTGGTTTAGCACCTCGTGGCAGAATACGGTCACAAGAAATTGCAGAGCCGCAGCCAAAAAGAGGACTGATAAGGGTTCCCGTTGGAAGAGAGACTGAAGGTGATGAGAAAGAAGTTGAGGTCTTTGATCCTGTGCAAGTTGAAAAACCTCAGAAACCATCACATCCAGGTGGTGGAATAATTCCCTTTATTCCATTCTCATTTTCATTTGGACTTCTAACACCTTGGTGGGATGGGTAAGTGGCAAAAATTCATTATAATTTATTTAAATCTGTATGTTGGGCTCATACTGTGTTCTTTTGCTCATAAAGCTATGTGTTTACTGCAATAAACATATAATAAAGATTTAGGTGTCAGAAATTTTTTCCTAGTAAAGAAATTTTTTCCTCTTTCAAAATTAGTAAGTCCATATCATTGTCCCAGTCTCATTCCAGATAGTATGTTAACATATGTTAAAATGTGTGTTTGCTTCTGGTATGCTTATTACTATGCTAGGGTGTAGGAAATATGTTTGTGAGTTTTACCACTGTGTTGAGTGGTGGCAGGTAGCACATTTGTATCCTTATAATGATTAGTACATTTGTGAAGTTGCATAATACTTTCTCAAAACATATTTATTTCAATTAGAATCTGCTAACGAGGGTCTTTCTAGTTAAGAGTTCAAGAGCATTCTGGGTCTCTGTAGTCGAGAGTTCAGGAGCCTTCTGAAGTGTTATTCCCGTGGAAAAATTCTTGACTGAATTAGCCACACCTCCTTAATTTTTCAGTTGTATTTTATGTCCTCTGATTCGTTATATCTGGAATGATATCAGAGGGAAAAAAAAATTGGTTCATCAGACCTCCTGAAATCGAGAGGCTTTGACGACAGACACGATGCAGAATGCTAAACTCTTCTGACACTAGATGTGAACTTACTATGTCTCTTGGACTGTCAACTGGAACGAATTATTGTGTCTGCGATGTCAGAAACATGTCATGTGACACATCGTAAAAGCTAGCTTAGAAGCAGTGACTTGGGACCGCACACACGATTTTTTCATCTCTGTATGGTCCTCTGCACGTTCCTATTGAATTATCATTACTGATAGGCAAATAATCAATGTTTCATGAAAGTGGACCAAGTATGAAAGTAATCTAGTCAAAATAGGTAAACCGCACCAGCTGGTTCGACACAGATGAACTGAAGCCACATGGACTGCAATACCTCAAAATAGCATTCAAAAGCAATATGACTCCGTGTCCAGCTGCATAATAGGTGGTACTCCGTGTCCAGCTGCATAATAGGTGGTACTCCGTGTTGACTGTTGCAAGGTGGATACTTGAGACACCGATTTCTGTATTTTAGAATTACATTAAAATTTAAATCATTTCATCCTTCCATTATAATGTAAGCCAAATCTGGTTATGCTAATCGCTTGCTTTTATGATGTAATTTTAATGGTCTGCACATATGCAATGATTTTTTTCGAAAGTAATGACTATGAATTATAATTGACTTCCATTAGAATAACTATACTGGCTTTTTAAGTCATCCAGTAAGTGCTGACACCATTCTTTAAAGATTACAGTTATATATTTCAGAAGAACAGAAGAATCAGAGAAACGTGTCCACAGGTGGCCGAATATATAAGACTGCTGCACACTGGTCTATTTGGGATCAAATCCCATGGTGATTGGGTTGTGTACGAGTTTTTCCCGTGTGTAATATAAACCCAAACCATTTCGCATAAAAAGGCCCTTTACAAAGGCATTCCTCCTTTTAGGTAGATAGCCTCTCGTGCTTATGCCGTTATCATTTAACCAACCAACAAAAGAAGTGTTTTCTTCTAGGTGACTTCAATGTCTGAAATGAAAAAAATCGCACTGGGCTGTATGGTGCATCAGGAATAGGTTTATTATTATTTTTTAGCAAGTACAGTGTTACAAGCATTAGCCATGCGAACCATTCATTGTTCAAATGAAAATAGTAAAAACGAGGTATAATTCTAGATATTCCTTCAGAATCATAATTTATAAATAATATTGTATTTTAACTGTTCTATTCAGAAGAACTTAGTGTTAATACACCGTACCTCTTTTCTTCTTGCTTGACTATCTACCATATGAGAAGTCTTGAGCCATAAAAGTGTTGTAAAATAAGGCACTGACTGTATCATCATCATATGCTTTTTGGAAAATTGCATTTATTTCCACTTCCATTTTATCCCGACAAAAACAGAACTTTATATTTGCTTTCATCAATACTGGATCAGAAAGGCCTCTGAGAAATTCTCTAGACCTAGATGAATGCTAATATTATGGTTGTTTGGCAGTAGTCTTAAAATAATTCAAAGTTTCAAGCTCAGACAGACGTGCACAAACAGCTTTTACGATATTTTGTACCAACATCGTGTGAGGTGATGAATAAAGTTTCACTAAATTCACCATATAAATCTAGCATTAAATGAGCCATATGAACACAGTCCAGATGTTTAGTGTAGATGATTGTGGCAAAACACTCCAAAGCTATCTACCTAAGGAGAAGGAGGTCTTTGTGGAGAACTTTCTAAGATAAAGTGGCTCATAACCAAGTTTACACATGAGGAAGAACAAGAAAATGCCCATGCAGCAAGCCCGTTTGCAGGAAATCAAACCCAGGTGGAACTCCCAGTGTTCAGCGACATTACTGCTTGGCTGTTAGTGGCCTGCAGTCTGAATGTGTTACATCAGCTGGGAAATTCATGGAGAGAGGTATCAAAACCTCTCTATAAGGAACTAATCCCAGTTTAGAATTATGTTTTAACAATTTTCACAAATAAGTAAAATTAAGAACTATAATTTAGCTGCTCGTTCAACAAATATGGAATCGAAATCTTAAGATAATAGTTATTCACAACAGATATGTGGAAGAAATTACTATAAATAGTTAAATTATACTGCTTTTAAATTCACTTATTCTTTAACACAAGCCTTTTTCGCTATAAAATATATTTAAATTGCTTTTTCTCTAACAAAATCTATTCTTTATATATATATATTTGAACTATAGCCTTAATTTTTTTTTTACAGGCCTAATGTTTGTGTGGAAAGGAATGAAGTTGAGGAACCAGAAGAAGATACAAAAGATATTCCTGGATTTAGCATCAATTTCCAAACCACACGTTGTGTGCCATCAGAATCTTCACACACGTGTATAAAAACGTAAGTATATAAGAACAAATAATTATCTATATTGATAAATATTATTTAATTAAATAAAATATATATTGCTTTACAAATATACAAAAACAGAAGAAAATTAACTTAATTAAATGTTATAATAAGCATTTACAACTGCGTTCCACTTACATGATAAGTTCAACTTCGATTTTGATAATTGTGAGTAATCGAAAATTCTCAAAACAAGAAACCTGTCCTCTCCTCCTATTGCAATATATATAAATAATTTACGACTGTATGAAAAACTATAATATCTTTATATAAACAAATATATAGTAAGACAAGCAAAACGAATAATATAAATAATTTACGACTGTATGAAAAACTATATCTTTATATAAACAAATATATAGTAAGACAAGCAAAACATTGTCTTAAAATATGCACAAACTGATTATATCAAAATAGAGGTTCAACACTAAAATGTCAGCTTTATGATTATTTGAATGAAAGTGTTTCTTAAAATTTATACAAAATAATACAGTCAAAACTCGTTAATTCGGACACCCATAATCCGGAATGATCTATAATCCGCGCAAGACCTTTACGGCTGCGAATTTGCATGTGCGCGTGCGCAAGATACGTTTATGAATGCACGTTTAATGTATAACAGACGGTATAAGCTAAGCTAAAATTATATAATTATTTATTTCAGTTAATGTTGCAGATTGCGTTGTTCCTTAATCTTCGAATTGGATCCGGCTTATTTTCTGCAGACTGTTAGAGCAATTTTATAAAAGTAAGTTTGAACTTTCGATTATGTCAAATAGAATTTCCGATATATATTTACTAATATGTAAAGGATCTACAAAGCGAAGGTATGTTTCGGAAGTCCATTCAAACAAAAAGTGGAATTGCTGCAAAAAATGGATAAAGGCATATCCTTTGTTTTATCTAACCTTTTAACGTTTGTTTATCTTTAACGCCGTGGCGTGCAATGAATTGGAAGTTGATCTGTCAGCACTATCCTTATCTTTGGGGCAGATGTTTTTATTTTATTTGGCTTATAATTCCTTACTAAATGTAGTATTTCATCTCGATGTACTCCATCTTTGATATGATTTAAATCAAATTCCTCGTCATTATAATTCGCTTCCGATAGCGAAGAAAGTGACAGAGGTTATTGAAAACAAAAAATTTCGATTGACAAATTAGTCGGTATTCTCGACACAGCAATTATAGGACTTGAACAGCGGAACTTTGTAACTGAACAAGAAATTATGTCTGTTTATAGAATTAAAGAGAAGTATTATCACATAAAAAACGAAGCAACTTAAACAACTTACATTGAAAGAAATGTTTAATAAAGTAAACAAATAAATATTAAGCTTTTTTTTTTTTGTAAATTTTGATACCCTTTAGATCATAATTGTTCTTTATTTCATAAATTATGGTTTCATATTTTTAATTTTATAGTTTCTGCATGCAATTTTATCAGATTTAAACTGATGATCTATAATCCGAAATCGCCGAAGTCCCGACGAGTCCGGATTAACGACTTTTGACTGTATGAATTATATTAAAATAAAAATTAAGAGTTGAATGCAAGTCTTATGTTTAGAATATGGTATACAAATGTAAAGGATAACTGAGAAAATGGTATCTCACACATTAATCAATTAAAAAATTTGTAAAAATTTGGATGTATAGTAATTTGGAACTACTGGAGAGAAAAACATATTTTAATAAACTGAAAGAATGGGAATGGATAAAATTACAAAGTATGCATAAAGATTCACATACACATTCTGGCTAGTGTGCCAGACAAGAAATGGTTGCATTTCTAACTTCTTCATGGATTTAGGCTTAATAGCAGAAAACCCTCCAGCCCTGGACAGACACTCATAAAATAGATTGCCGGCTGCAGCGATAAGTGCGTTTGCAATTCCCTTTGCAAAAGGGTTAAGTGCCCCTATACTGCAAAGACGCTATAAATTTATAAACAACCATGCCTTCTCTGAGATTCAAAACTGTATCTATGACTATGGCATCCTATTTTCCTTATCACCATGCCAATAAAGTGGCAGAATTACAGATATTAATCTGCAGATCAAGAAATGTAAATTTATTAATCCTCATATGCAGTTGAGAGTATTGAATCAAATAATGATCTTAAGTGTTTGATATCAATATGTCCTTTCAAAAAATTAAATAAAAGCTAAAATTTAAAATTTAAATAAAATTCATCATTCAAAAAAGTATATCTGTTTAGTCTTAAAAGTTCTGGAAATGCAAGAATGAAGTTTCCATTTTCGTATGAAAACAGCTAATAATAATAATAAAACTAAGTATTCCTTAATTAAACAGACATGCATTTTAATTAATTACAAATAATCTTGCATGTAAAGTTATGGACATTTCTTATGTTTAAATTATAAGGCATAATGAATGTAATTCTTTGGATTTTTTTTATCTGTGAGGATCATTATAAAAGCTAAATTTTATGTTTAGAAAATCTGTGTACGATGTGAAAATTTCTTTCATAATATTCTCTAGCTTATTCAGATAAACTGTTATTGGAAGTATATTTCTAGGATCAATATTTATGGAAATAAACTTGTGACATTTTTTTTAACATGCTGTATATACATGTACTTTTCTTTTATGAAGGACACAAACTAATGGAATGCGAAAGACAGTGATCCTCAGAAGGCAGTGTTGCCATGGTTACATACGAAGGACAGATGGAAGACCTGGATGCAGCGCACGTAAGTAATTAAATCTAAAATAACAAAATTCAGATACCTTTCATAGTACATATTTATGATTAAATTATGTTAATTGCTTCATCATTTTAATAATTTAACATGCTACAGGTCTTAGTATTATAACTATATTAGCATGCTACATCTTTGGATTTGCACCTCAAAACTTGCATAATTCAAGTATTAATTTGGCACTACTTCCAGCCATTAGACATTGCATTAAAAAAAAAAAATATTGTACTTAAACGAAGCAGGTTTTCATGATAGCTTCATTTGTAAATGTAGCTATCATGAAAACTGTTAGCTGTTAATTCTTTGCATAATTCAAAACATTTTATCATTATACTCAGTGTTAAATTTAAAATATAGATCACATTTCTCATGTATTTGTGTAAAGCATCCCTCTTATGAATCAGATATATGCATTTTAATCTCATCTGAAAGGTGTTATTATCAAACATTGTTGCACTTAATAAATGGGCACTTTCAGTTTAGTTTGAAAAATTTTATCTCCGTGTTATAAGATATGGTAAAAACAAAGTATGTATATATGTGTGTGTGTGTATGTGTGGATATTGTAATGAAATGACCACAAATATTGACTCGTCTAACATTTCAGAATCTCAAGTATGAGTGTATATATGTGTGTGTATATGTATAAGAAAAATAAAAAAAATGTGAAAGATAAAATTTTAATTAGCAGCATAAATTAATTTCCCTTCTCTATTTCAAAAATAGTAATCTTTATTTGTACTGCGTCATTTCGAGACTAATCCATGCCATATGATTCTTATGTAATTTTGATGATGTAAATGAAACTAAAACTCAAACAGCCAATAATAATTTTACAGTAATACAAATTATCGAATCAAAACGCATTGAGAACCAAAACTAACTCAGTCTGAATAAAGATTTCAACCTGAACATAACACTACTACTTAACACACTTCGCTACTCCTCGCTTAGCTGGTCTACTATTTCCTTCTTATAGCATAAAAAATGTACACTTTTTGAAGTAAGCACAAATAATGTGCCAAGTTGTTCATGCCTGCAACATGTTTACTGAAAATAAAGTGAAGATTTAATGTACTTTGACTGCCAGTTTCCTGTTCATTATGGATTAACATTTCTGCACCATCAAAATTCCTACTCTTTGTTACTTCTAAGTGTTTGCTTGCTATGTAAGTTTTGTTACTTCTAAGTGTAAGTTTGCTATATATATATATATATATATATATATATATATATATATATATATATATATATATATATAGAGAGAGAGAGAGAGAGAGAGAGAGAGAAATGTATGTATGCATTTGTATATGTTTTGTGTACACACAGATTCATACAAGCACAGTTTAATTTAAAATTAAGACTCATTTTCTGAATAGATAGTAATAATGATCCTGTTAAATATAAAAGTTAAAAATAGAAAATTTACAAAAGTGTACAGTTGTTTTATCATTATATATATATATATTTAAAAACATTTCTGTTCATTCCATTTTTTTCTTCTGTGTTGTTTTGAGCTGTTTAATATAATTATTATGTAATAAATAAGAAACATTAATAGAGCTGTTTTTAAAGCAGCGAAATGAAAGCATGATTCCTTAAAATGAAAAATATATTAATTCAAGTATTGCTTGCATTTTCTTTTAATGAGAAGGATACATTTTTTCTTGGGAAAATACTGTAATATATCTTAGATATTTAGTACCTTTCATATGAAAAAAGAAAAAAAAAATTAAATACTTTAAAATTTTTTATAAAGTACGAACTTTAATGTAAACTTTAATTGTACTGTAAAAAGGTGCAAAACTAATGCTTTTAAACTACTTACAATTTAAGAATAAAGGCGATTCTGCCCTTTCAGTGATTTCAAAGTGTGAATTAAAGTTATAGCCTGTTTTCATAAACTAAAACATTAACTGAAGGTCAGTCAAAAAGTATTTTTGATGAAAGATGCTTTATTTGTTTTGATATGGATAAGACTTATTTAGAAGTCAAACAACAAAAATCAGTCTTATATTTACTTTGAAAATTTTCACAGGACCAGTTTCGATGGTTTTACCGAACCATCAACCTCAGCTGTCAAAGTGCAAATTAATGAGATAAGATAAGAATAGCTGGACAGGAGTTAAGCTATTGGCACCATGTATTGATGAAACAAAAACTAAAACATAATTTCCTTAAAGTTTGAGGGCAAAGATGGATTGGAACTAGGGTCGTTAACTAGAACAGAAAGATTTTTTTTTTTTTAATGTGAAATGCCTCTAGAAATCTTAATTCACCAATGGAAGATGTTTTTTGAATAATTTTGTCTGCAGAAAAATGGAAAGTGTGATTTTTCGGACCAACAATGCTGGGTAACAGAGGACTTCTGTGTTTCCTTTTTCCTAACATAAGCCTCATGTTCCTTAATGTGAAATTTTAAGGCTGTCTTAGTTTGACCAATGTAAATTAAACCATACTGAGAAAGTTAAACCAGCCTGGAAAGTTAAATTTCTGGAAAATACGTGCAATTTTGTAGCTAATTGATGGAAAGAAAGGAATGACAACAGACATCTGTTTGACATGTTAACGGCATGTTAGTGACCTTAATGTCTAAGACTTGCATTAAATGGACAATAAATTTACATATTACATACGGCAAATAGAATTTATGCAGATTACTTACAATGGTTACAAATTAGTTATGATTATAGCAATAAGTTATTGATGCATAGAGTTTGATTTTTCACAGCTTGAATTTCAGTGCATGAAGTTTGTTTTAAATTATGCTATGCATCAAAAAAAACAATGCTTTTTAAAATTTTCTAAAAATTATGCAAAATATTCTGTAATTTTTATATTTGTGTTAGAATTTTAATGGTTATTTTATTTACTGTTTTCATTAATCTTGAAAAAAATGCTGTTTTTTTTTTTTTTTTTTTTTTTTTTTTCCCAGTGAAAATGGAAAATCTGATCGACACTATGAAATCACTGGAAATGAATAAATTTCTGAACTGGATTGACAACGCTGGCCTGAAGGAAAACTTACTGACAGAAAATTACACAGTTTTTGCACCATCAAATGATGCTATAGTTGATTTTGAAGATGATACGGAAGATGTAAGTATAGCACATACTTATTGCTGCAAATTTATTATCAATGTAATATCTGCCATTTGAAAAGATCTTTAAATCCACTTTTATACACAAATATAAGAGTTTTTTATTGATTAATCATTTATTCACCTTACACTAGCTATCAAATATCATGCCACTTTTCATATGAGAAGAATCTGAGTCCTTTATTCATGCTAAATATCACTTAAATTCTGAATAAAATCTATGTACACATATCACTTTGAAGCATATAAATATCTTCTTCATGCATGGAATCCAGAAATTATAATATAGTTTTGCATCATTATGCAAATTGTATTCAAGTCTTAAAGATTTTTCATAAATTACAGAGCATCTGTCTATTTAGAAATCCTGCCTCGAATTCTTGTAATTTTTTGTTGAGTTCCTCAACATTAAATTTCAAATTATAATTTGCAATATAGAAAAGGGATATTTATGTGTACTCTGCTCTCAATATTGTTTGCAGGTCTTCTATTTTTATCTCATAAATGTACATTGAAGTACTATTATATACAGTACACCAAAAAGAACTATTGAAAAATAGACACAAAATGCTGGGTGCATACACTGGATGAAAAATTGAAATTTGGACACTGTTATGCAAGTTGCTCCTAGCAAAATCTTCAATGCAAGTTAAAGTTTTTATTAATAATAGAGAATACGAACAAAAAATACATGTACTTAATTATATAGTCATTAATCAAACTTAAATTGAATATCTTCACAATCCAGCCCTTCAAAAATTTTTTTTCTATATCAAGCCTTGCTGAAGACCTTAGTCTCATATCTTATTAAATTTTTTAAATAACTTTTAACTGCTTTTAAAATGGAGAAAGCGCTTTTTCCTAATGCATTGGTTAGAGGCATCAAGTAAACTCTGAATAATATTTCAGTATTAGGATAAAAAGATGCAATAATGTATATTAATGTTTTTCATGAACTCGCATATATCGTTCAGGCTTCGTAAATTTTGTTTTCTCCCTGTTAAAATGACATATATCAGCTAATTGTCTAGTTCGGTGGTTTTCAACTTTTTTTGTCCCATGCACCCCTTTAACACTGCTAGTTGATTGTACCCCCTCCTTTCCAAAATTCAAAAAATACATATGCATTTACTTAGATTCTTTTTTAATTTGTTCTATAAATTAAAAAGGAAAAAGTATAGAAAATGTTGATAAATATCAAAACTTGAATCAAAGTAGCTTTTTATATTCATAAATTAAAACTAAATACTTAACAAGTAAATAAAAGGCTGACCATATTCCCCTGTCTAAAACTATGAATTCCCCTCAAGGTGGAATTTTCCCTTGGTTTAGTTCTTTGAATATCAATGTCACTGAAATAATTATCCTGATTCCCTTGTGTAACCCGATTCATTCTTTAAATTTTCAAATTCTGTAGAAAAATATTAACTTGAAATATTAATTTGCTGATATATGATATACATGTAAAATATAACAAAATACGATGATAGCTGCTTTAACAATAATCGGCGACCTCAAAATTAACTTTTCTAGATTTTGTTTTTCCTTCTAAATTCATCTGTTCTCCAAAAATTAACTAATCACAGATTAGTTGAACTTATGCATCATTCTTAGTATAAATACTCTTGGCAAAACAATTACATCATTTCTTTCCCTAGCTTCTACAGTGCTAATATCTTCGCACTGCTTTGCTTCTCAGACTAATATGCCTACGTCTACCTTTTAAAATTCATGTACATAAAATTTATCGTATTTAACAATGATTGAATAAATGTCTGCCAAACTAATTGGATATGTTTGAGAATAAAGATTGGTGATTTATAAAAACCCAGTTTCTCATTTGTCTGTATTCATTCAACCCTCGGCCATGACGGATATCGAAAAGCTGTTAAAAGTTCTGGTGTTTCCTTTTAAGCATTAAATTATGACATATATATATATATATATATATGATGTACCAGCTTTTGTCCAGAATAAATAGATTGGTGAAGTGTAGTTGTAGCTTAAATTATCAGACAATAAGTTTGAAAAACAGAATCCGTTTATTAATATAGCAGTTACAAAATCAGATCTCCGGAGTAAATAAAAAAGAAATACTAATAACTTTTTGTATGAAGTTTACTGCATCGTTACATTAAAGAAAAGACCCCGATATTCCTTTGCAAGCCTCTGGAAAGGCGGAGCTTCTAAGAAATGATGTCAGCCTCATCAGCCATTCCAGTACGCCTAAAATATCTCCAGAACATTCTATAACTGTACATGTAGAAAAGGCGGGAAAAACAACTTGACTACGGGGCTGTGAATTTAATTCCACGTACTTTCAAATAAGAGACCGTCACCATTAAAAATGAAAAGAACATACAGTTAGAATTTTAAGGAATTTTATTATTACAAAATATTCCCCCCATCTGAAAAGGCTTGAAGCCGGGCGCCTCGACCACATGACATTCCAGATAGTGAAAGAAAACGCGACAACAGCTAGAAAATTATTTTAAATAATTGCTTAATTTGTTTGAAGAACTCGCATTCAGAATTCGAGTTACAATAATACAGTCAAAAGTCATTAATCAGGACTCGTCGGGACTTCGGCGATTCCGGATTATAGATCATCAGTTTAAATCTGGTAAGATGGCATGCAGAAATTATAAAATTAAAAATATGAAACAGTAATTTATGAAATAAAGAACAATTATGATGTAAAGGGTATCAAAATTTACAAAAAAAAAAAGGCTTAATATTTATTTGTTTACTTTACTTTCTTCACTATCGGAAGCAAATCATAATGACGAGGAATTTGATTTAAATCATATCAAAGACGGAGTACATCGAAATGAAATACTACATTTAGTAAGGAATTATAAGCCAAATAAAATAAAAACATTTGCCCTCAAAATAACGATAGTGCTGACAGATCAACTTCCAATTTATGCCTCGGCATCCTCCCCCCCCGGCAGAGCAGCGTGAAATTGATAAACAGATTTCGGAATGGTTAGATAAACAAAGGATATGCCTTTATCCATTTTTTTGCAGCAATTCCACTTTTTGTTTGATGGACATCGAAACATACTTTCGCTTTGTAGATCCTTTACATATCCAGCTAAAATATATCTGAAATTCTATTTGACATAATCGAAAGTTCAAGCTTACTTTTATAAAATTGCTCTAACAGTCTGCAAAAAATAATAAGCCGGATCCAATTCGAAGATTAAGGAACAACGCAATCTGCAACATTAACTGAATTAGATAATTTTAGCTTAGCTTATACCGTCCGTTATACATTAAACGCGCATGCGTAAACGTATTTTGCGCATGTGCACATGCACATTAGCAGCCGTAAAGGTCTTACACGCATGCGTCAATGAGACGCATTTGCAGAAATTTTGTAGCTTTGAGGTCCAGATTATATATAGATCATTCCGGATTATGGGTGTCCGAATTAACGACTTGACTGTATTAATCTTAAATAGACCCTCTCACTATAACACAGTCAATAATATTATCAATATATAAAATTGTAAATAATATACCTTAATATATTGACATTTATAGAAAATAAAGAAAAAAAAACATTATGCATATGCAGTATTGGGAAAACATTTCTCGAGAATAGTTTCAGTTCTTGATCCAGGTCTTTAGAGATTGCTGCAAAATGTTAGAGCAGTTCATATTTTACAAATCTTTCATTTCCAGTTTGCCGTGGCTTTAATATTAAAAATTTCTATTTGAGGTGAGGTATTCGTCTATTTTTTTCTTCATATCATTGACAATTGCAATACTTGATTAATTTCTTAACATTTCCTTTTGACTTGTACAGTCAAAAGTCGTTAATTCGGACACCCATAATCCGGACCTCAAAGCTAAAAACTTTCTGCGCATGCGCCGCGTTGACACATGCGCATAGGCGTTTACGCGCACGCGCATATGCGTGTGCGAAAATGCAGAATACGTTTTCGCGTGCGCGTTTAACGCATAACGGACGGTATAAGCTAAAATTATACAATTATCTATTTCAGTTAATGCTGATGCTTGCGTTATTCCTTAATCTTCGAATTGGATGCAGCTTATTATTTTTTGCAGACTGTAAGAGCAATTTTATAAAAGTAAACTTGAACTTTCGATTATGTCAATTTCCGATTCTGGAGCTCCCAAAGGATCTACAAAACGAAAGTATGTCTCAATGTCCGTCAAACAAAAAGTGGAATTGCTGCAAAAAATGGATAAAGACATGAAGAAGGTGACAGAGAGGTTAGTGAAAACGAAAAAATTTCGATTGACAAGTTAGTCGGTATTCTCGGCGCTGCAATTACGGAACTTGAACAGCAGAGCTTTTTAACTGAACAAGAAATTATGTCTTTATAGAATAAAAGAGAAAGTATTAAAACATAAAACGAAACAACTTACATTGAAAGAAATGTTTAATAAGTAAACAAATATATAAGCCTTTTTTTAAATTTTATACCTTTAATCAAATTTTTTATTCTAATACGTTCTATTTTATTTGAATTTTGATGCATCTACAGAGTAACTGTTTATCGAAATCCAACGATCCGCATGATTTGACTTGTGGTTGTTTACAGTATTTCATTTTGACTACTTATTCATATAAAACACTTATTTTGATAATAATCATTTTACACAATAATTTTACTCGTATTTTACCTTTTACTATCGACAATGACAATTATGTCATATACTGCATTGTCGTTCAACACAACTTTCAACTTCAATAGTATTTTATAATTACCATTAATGTCGTTGCCAAAAAATTGACACATAAATACAAAATAAATACAAAGATACAAAAAACACACCAAAAATTTACAACACAGAAAATTAGACATTAAATAATTAGAGGTGCTTTAATTACCTTTAGTAGCAATCCCAATTGAGCGTTTACCAAAAGGAAGGTGTGTCTACCTATTGGTGACGTAGTTTAAAATTTTCTGGGTCTTGGTAGTGTTGTAGTCTAGAAACATGGACAATATCAGTAGGTTTCTTTGTGTGGTAATTCTTTTTTATCAATTTCATAATTAACCTCGGATAATTTTTTGACAATTTGGTATGGTCCAGAATAGGGAGGTGTCAATTTACGTGTATTCGGAAATTCAAATTCATCAAATAAAACTAGATCACCAGGTTGAAAATCTACATCTGCAAATTTTGTGTCATAACGACTTTTATTCCTTTTATGATATTCAATAGTTTCTCTCTTTAGCTAATTTTCTCGCTATGTCAACCGGAGGGTAAGTATTTTGATCTAGGGGAGAATCGAAAAAAAGTTTTCCGAGTAAAAAATATGCAGTGGTGAATTTAGTTACCGAATGAGGGAATTATTATATTCACTAAACTTGATCCAAAATTTTCGTCCATGGAATTTTCGATGATGTAGAATTTACTTACATCTTAAACGGGTTACTAGGGTTTGGTTCACACGCTCTACTTTACCATTTATCTGGGGGTGATGGGCAGTTGTTAGAAGTTGTTTTACATTATAATTTTTAAGAAATTTTTTGAATCTATTGCAGGTAAATGCGGCATTGCGGTCACTAAGGATTTTTTCGGGGACTTGAATTTGGAAAATTTGTTTCAAAATATTAGCATAAGTTTCTGTAGTTGCACTTTTAGATGGAAAAGCCCAGACATATCTTGTGGCATGATCGATCACAAGATGTAAATATTTTTTTTTGTAGAATTATAATAATTAAAACCGCCGACTGTATCAATAGAAAGACATTCAAAAGGTTTATCAGTTGGGGTACTTCTTGCATAAGTCCAAATTTTTTGGTTTTTTTTCTTTTTTATTAATTTGACAAACATGGCAATGTTTTTCACGAAATTTCCAATATCTTTACTAATGTAGGGCCAATAATATTGTGGGGTGATTAAATTTAACATAGCATGAGTACCTTTGCGTCCGAATTTTTCATGAATTTCAGTTAATAATTTTAATCTTAAGGATTTTGGTACCAAACCTTTTTTTTCTTTTTGATTACCATCAAATCATTTAGTTCTACATATTTTTATCACACACATTGTCACTTTTTTACTGTTGTATAATTTCATCACGATTAAGTAAATACACAGAATGTTGGAGCTGGTGAGAAACAGGTTGTCTAGAAAGCATATCAGCTTCAACGTTTGTAGAGCCTTTTTGATATTTAACTTCGTAATCAAACATACTGAGTCGGAGTGACCAACGGAATAATCTGCCTCTTAAATTCTTAACATTTTTAAGCCAAACAAGGGCTGCATGATCGGTATGGATTGTAAATTTTTGACCGTGAAGATAGTAATAAAATTTATCTAATGCATCAACAATAGCTAAACATTCAAGTTCTGTAATTGCATAATTTTTTTCGTAATCTTTTAAAGCTCTAGAATGGTAGGAAACTGGGTGTAATACATTACTTTCATCTGGCTGCTTCAAAACAGCTCCCACAGCAATCTGTGATGCATCAACAAAAACATGACAAGGTTTATTTGGATCATACAATTGTAAGACTGGTTTTGAAATAAGAATATTTTTCAGTTCGTCAAAAGCAGTTTGACATTGATCATCCCAATGCCATGGTACATCTTTTTTCAATAATTTATTTAGAGGAGATCTTAATTTAGCATAATTAGGTATGAATCTATGATAAACATTTACACTGCCTAACACTCTTTGTAGTTCTTTTACATTACTTGGATATTTCAAATTTTTAATACTTTCAATATTTTGGTTATCTGGGGTAACTTTACCCTTTCTAATTTCATAACCTAGAAAATTGATTTTATCTTTGGCAAAGACACATTTACTCTGGTTCAATTTAATACCTTCTTGAATAAATATTTCAAATAATTCACTCAAATGCTTTAGATGTTGTTCTTTGGAAGAAGAGTAAACAATTATGTCATCAAAATAACTACAAGCAAATTGGATTTTATTTTTAGTGAGGATGCGTTTAATAACTCTGTTAAAGATAGCCGGTGCATTTTTGAAGCCAAAAGGGAGTCTTAGCCATTCATACAGTCCAAAATTTGTAATAAAAGCCAATTTTTCGGTGTCATCAGGGTGAATAGGAATGTGCCAAAACCCTGATCTTAGATCTATTGTAGAAAAAACATTTGCATTACTTAATTTGTCTAATAAAAAGTCTATCCGGGGCAGGGGATGAGCATCAGTCTTTGCTAAAGCATTCAACTTACGATAATCAATACACATTCTGGTTTTTTTTTGCCCTCATCGCGTTTTAATACTAAAGTTACTGGGGATGTATAAGGACTACTACTTTCTTTAATAATTCCATTTTTTTAATACTTGATCAATTTGTCATCTTATTTCTTCTTCTTCCTTAGGGGAAGTTCGATAAGGTCTTAAAGTGACAGGCAAATCAGAAGTCAATTTAATTCGTTGTGGTTCAATGTTAATTTTACCTACATCATATTTATTTAACAATTTAATTAATTCAGGGTTTTCTTCCTCCATACTCTCTGAATCTGTTGTTATTTCACTACTTTGTTTTTTCACATCACTTTTTTGAATTTTTAGTTTTACATTACTTTTATTATTTACATTAACTCTTGTTACCTTAAGACATCTTATCATCATTAAACTTCATAATTTAGACTTATTACCTTCATTAACTATTATACTTTTAGACACATTATTTTCTTAGATATATTATTTTCATCAACACTTATTACCTCAGAGATATTAATTACTTCTAGGTTTTGTCTTAACTGATGGCATTACATTACTGTTTTTTTTCAAGTACTTGATCAAGTTGTACATGCAAAGAAACTCTGTTATTTACATTCACAGAATTTGAAATGTTTTCATTTCTTCGAGTTACCACTAAATTACTACAATCAATTTTTAATTCAAATAATTTACATTCATTTAAACCCAAAGAACATAATCTAAATTAGTATCTAACACTAAAAAGTTAATTAGTTTAATAATATTTCCAATTTTCATTTGTAATCTACACATTTTATCAATAGAAAAATTTCCTTTAGTTTGCTTAATTTTAATACCTTTTACCTTTTGAATTTTTAACTGTAAATTGTTTGCAGATTTTTCTGAGATGATAGACAATGTCGCGCCAGTGTCCACGACACAGTCGACTGATCTGCCATGGGATAAAAATCCCTTAATTCTTAGTTGTCAAATTCCCGAAGAATCAGACCCCGAATTTTTGTTTTCCACATTAGAATTAGTTTCAGTTTCGTTGTTCTCATTTCGGAATGGGCAGATTTGAGCCCAGTGATAACAATTTGGTATCCCTTTTTTGGTACATATTCTACAAGGTGATGGGGCTATACCGTCAAAATTACTATTAGTATGGTGACTTACAACTTTCTTTCCGTTGTTGATATTGCTGTTAGATTTATTTCCAATTTGTTGAAAACTATGAGGTTTGTAATTAGATGCATTGGGTCGATTATCAACAAACTGACGATTATTATTTCGGAAATTAGCTTGTCTGAATTGTTGACTATTCCTATCTCTGTTATAATTTTGTGAATTTTCATCTTTAAATTCATGAATTTGTCGAAGTTTGTGGGCTTGTTCTAGCCAAGTTATCGGATCAGCGGGACTTTGAACAATCATCAAAGACTTTAAGTTCGTTGGCAAACCATCTGTCAAACCTTCTAAAATCATTGATTTATCCAAATTAAGCCGCTTACCCACTTCAATTTTCTTTCGAAAGTAATTTGTGATGTCTTCTCTGGCGTTATATTTTAAATTAGCGAAGTCGCCGAAAGTAGTTAAGGTGGGATCGATAAAGTTTTCTTTTAATATTTGTTCAAATTCTGAGTAAGTTTTTAGCTCATGGCAATTTTTAATATAGAGCCAGAGGGCTTTTCCCTTAATGTAACGAGAAATATTTTGAAGTTTCCAATTTTCGTCCTTATTTTGGCAGACTTTGTTAAAATAACCTAACCAAGAAATTATGTCACTGTCCTTAGAATCTTCAAATGGAATAATATTTAAATCTATTGTATCTTGATTCACGTTCAGTGAATCGTCAAGATTAACGGGTTCCTGATTTGTCGACATTGTAACTGAAACTTTTAAAATTTTCTTGAGAACAAAAATGTGCACTTTTCTCAAATATTTTTACAAAATATTTTTTTTAAACCAAAAACTCTTCAGAGTATTATCAACACTTCATAGAATAATAGACTTAAATAAAAATTTTGTATTCTCAAATTTTATGATTATCACTACACATTTCAGGATAATATCAAATCTTACTTAGAATACTATTAATTAGAATAAGACTTGAAATTTAAATAAACTCGTAATTACTTTAACATAATATATTTAAACCAAACTATTGTCGTAGCAACTTAGTTCACACACTGAGAAAAAATAATTTCTTAAAATCTGTTCTTACTTGGCTGTTGAGTACACTATTTAATCCTGCTCGTTTGTGTGCTGTTAAAAAAAAAAAAAAAAAAAAAAGCATAAATGATTGAAATTCTTCAGCTTCTTTCCAGCAGACGATATCCAAATCATGCGGTTCTAACTATGAGACGCGCTCAAAATGCGAAGACAAAGCTGTATCACAATTCACAATTTTCAATTAAAAAAAAAAAAAAAAAAAAAGCATAAATGATTGAAATTCTGCAGCTTCTTTCCAGCAGATGATATCCAAATCATGCGGTTCTTAACTCTGAGACGCGCTCAAAATGTGAAGACAAAGTTGTACCACAATTCTTCAATTGTAAAAAAAACAGACACAACTTGCACTTAAAACGTTCTTTCACTTTTTTTGGAATTACTTTCCTCTTTGGGTACACCCATCCTGCCGACTTCTTGTGATGTACCAGCTTTTGTCCGGAATAAATAGATTGGTGAAGAAATATAGATGTAGTCGTAGCTTAAATTATCAGACGATAAGTTTAAAAAACAGGATCCATTTATTATTATTCAGGAGAAATAGCAGTTACAAAATCAGATATCCGGAGTAAATAAAAAGAATTACTAATAACTTTTTGTATGAAGTTTACTGCATCGTTACATTAAAGAAAAGACCCCGATATTCCTTTGCGAGTCCTTTTATAGCCTCTGGAAAGGCGGAGCTTCCAAGAAATGACGTCAGCCATTCCAGTTCGCTTTAAATATCTCCAGAACATTCTATAACTGTACGTGTAGAAAAGGCGGGAAAAACAACTTGACTACGGGGCTGTGGATTTAATTCCACGTACTTTCAAATAAGAGAACGTCGCCATTAAAAATGAAAAGAACATACAGTTAGAATTTTAAGTGTATTCTTGACTATGGAATTTTATTATTACATATATATATATATATATTTGTGTTAATTCCCTTCAAACTTTGGCACAAATAACAAGATGGAATATAGTAGTCTTAAAATCTGCTGACCAATTAAATTGATGTTTTCATCAAAAAATTTGTTCTCGTTTCTAGGTCTTTCTTGAATATTAGCATAAAATTTGGTGTCGAGTATTATTAATACCTCACTGTCAATTCATTATATTTATCTATATCAGTATTTTGTCTGAAATAATGTTTATCATACCATATTTCAGTGTTCTTATTTTTTCCTCAATGTGTTTTAAAATTAACTGCTTTTATTTCAGAATGAAATCTCTGCCATAAATCCAGCTAAACGTTTGATTGATGTTTCTTCAATTGTGGCAGGCCATATATTGGAGGGCTTCACAAACATTGATAACTTAGAAAATGAAGAGCTTTTAAATACCTTGACTGAGGCATCTAAGATTCGTATCAATAAATATCAGCCTGCACACGAAGTAAGAATTTGCATATTATTAAATACAATAAAATTATAACATGATATACAATTAATGAAAATATTCTGTCATAAAGTTAATCATCAGTAATGTAATTCCACATTAAAAATTTGTTAAATTTTCTTCTAGGTTGTGACAGCCAATTGTATACCCATAATCGGAAAAAATAATTTTGCAACAAATGGAATTGTACATCTGGCGTCTGGAGTATTGCCACAGCCAAAACAAACCGTAGGTGAACTAATAGAAAATGACAGCCAGTTTAATACTTTCAAGAAGTGTAAGTAGTACTGATTTTCACTTTGTTATGGAAATTTACCTAGAGTTATATCAAATGAAAATCTTTTAGCATGAAAGTAGTAAAACAGTCATCCCATTACCAATAATTTAAGTAACAAAATCAAGACCAAAGAAGATGATAATGTGTATTTAATTAATAAAACTTAATAGATTACTGAAGATTTACATCCATAACCCACCAAAAAACCGACATTCTCTTAATGGAAAATAACGTGGCTTCCATTACTTCAGATCCTAAATTTCTGTGCTGCCGACTAAAGCAACTCAGATCTGTCAGAGTTAGCATCCATCTAAAACTAATTTTACCAATTTTGAATACATAAATTTCATTCCGGAGAAAAACCTGAATAGTAATTGGGAAATGTGTATATACAATGATTTAGCATCATTTGTATATAAAATATTAAAATCCCCATTTACACTAGAACTTAATTGGGCATTTTGAAAAAATTATTTTTGGTAATTGGGCTTAAAAAGAGCATATTGGCTATTTCAGAGCATTTTTTTAAAAGCATTTATGAATGTTTTTATGGCGGGAAATGTAGTGGATATTTTACATACTTCTTTCCAAGAAATGCTTAGTAATACTGACTCAAGTTCTTTAAAAGCTTGAAACTGCAAAGAATAATTAACAGCCAGTTAATAAGCACATTTTAGCCTAGCCAGGTCCGTTCTTAGTGGGGGTGCAGCATGTAAAAGTATGTGGGCGGCCGTACTCTCGTGATACCACACCTAAATATTTTAAATTCATTGTAAGTACGTAGCGAATATGAAATAAAAATTTTATTAATCATTGAGCATTTTGCTTTTAATTTGGGGGCATCAATCTTAAAAACATATACAGGCAGCCAATGGAGCCCTTGGAACAGCCCTGAGCCTAGCTATCTTACATGTGGAGCTTCAAAGCGCTCAACGATGGCTATCTAATTTTTTATTCTTCACAAAATATTAATTCAGGCATTAGTTATATGATACACAAATTTGCAAATAATGTAAAGAATAGGAAAGAAAAATAATATATGGTAGAGAAGCATATTTAACTTACCATAATACTTATGACACAATAACACGCTGAATAAATACTAATTCAGAAGTCAAACAACAAAAATCAGCGTTATATTTACAAAATTTTCACAGGACTAGTTTCGATGGTTTTACCGAACCTCCATCTTCAGCTGCAAAACCGCAAATGAACAAGATAGGAAATAATGATTAGATAAGATAAGAAAGCCTGGACAAGAATAAGCAAGTGGCGCCATCTGTTGGCAAAACCAGAACTAAAACATAATTTCTTTAAAGGCCGAAGGCAAATTTGGATTGGAATTAGGATCGTTAACTAGAACAGAAAGATTTTTTGAATGTGAAATGCCTCTAGAAAATCCAGTTCTCCAATGGAAGATGTTTTTTGAATAATTTTGGCAGCAGAAAAACTGAAAGTGTGGTTTTCGGACCAACAATGTTGAGCAACAGAAGACTTCTGTGTTTCCTTTTTTCTAACATATGCCTCATGTTCCTTGACGCAAAACTCAAGGCTCTCTTAGTTTGGCCAATGTAAATTAAACCACACTGGCAAGGAATCCTATAAATACCCCAGGAATTCATATCCGGAATGGGGTCCTTGAGTATGGAACTCGGAATTTTATTGATGGGAGAATAAACAACCCGAAAGTTAAATTTCTGCAAAATATGTGCAACTTTATACCTAATTGATGGAAAGAAGGGAATGACAACAGAATTTTTATAATCTCCTAAAACAAGAGTGTGCCTTTTAGTGTGTTGAGATGAGAATTTTTTAACTGCTTGATTAATAATGTTGGGCAAAAAGCCCCTGTCAATAGCTATTGCTTTTTAATAATTTAGTTCTTCATCAAGGGCTTGTTTGGAGGAGCAAACTTGAAGAGCATGGAAAACATAGGAATAAAATGAAGCTAACTTTTGTTTAGTCAGATGACATGATTTAAAGTGTGGTGGAAGGCAAACCGATGAAGGTTTACGGTAAACTGTAGTACTGAAGTTGGATGTGTTACGTGTGACCAGAATGTCGAGAAACGGAGAGAATTGCAAGTCTCAATTTCAAAAGTGAACTGAATAGCAGGATCAATAGAATTCATTGTTGAAAGAACTTTATTTAAATCATCTTTATTACCTTCAAACAGGGTAAAAGTATCGTCTACATAGCGGTAAAGTTTCAAACAATTTTGATTCATAATAATGCATGTAGATATCAGCCAGGATGGGACTGAGGGGGCTTTCCATGGCTAATCCCTCAGTTTGCTCGTAATATTTATTTTGGAAAACAAAATGTGTTTGTTTCAAACAGAGTTGAGTTAGAGAAATTAGCTCATCAATTTCGATGCAAGAGAAATGAAATTCGCGAAGTGTGGTTTCTAGACATCTTAATGCACCCTCCACTGGGACATTGGTGAATAATGATTTTACATCAAAAGAAACCATGAGTAAATTACTAGGAGAAATGTTTTTAACTTTTTTTACAAACTCTATTGAATTTTTTATTCTTGTCCAGGCTTTCTTATCTTATCTAATCATTATTTCCTATCTTGTTCATTTGCGGTTTTGCAGCTGAAGATGGTGGTTCGGTAAAACCATCGAAACTAGTCCTGTGAAAATTTTGTAAATATAACGCTGATTTTTGTTCTTTGACTTCTGAATTAGTATTACCATAATACTTCAAGATGATTGCACTACAGTGGAATGCTTTAGAATTTAGTAATCATGTTTAGCTAAATGTTAAGGAAAGGCTTGCTATATTCAGTAAGAAGCATTATAATGTTATTCAACAAATAATACAAGTAATAATAATATACAAATGGGTGTGGCTTAGCTTCCTCCCTTCTAGTTTTTCATGACATCTGTTGGTTTTTAATTTATAAACTCTACTACGAAAAATGCATCTTAATGATAGATAAAATTCATTGAATTAATGAAACTGAAATTGGGCAAATTTCATTCCTCTAGCCCTAGTAATTTTCAGAATTTTTTTTATTAAATCTTATTTTATATAAATTGTCTTAATCTACCGTGAACATTTACATAACGTTTTATGAAGATTCAACCAACGTTTAATGCCATTAATATTTTTGTTTTACATCAGTGCATAGTAAACTGGTAAGATTACCCGATTACCCACACAATATCTACACCTTGGAAAAAAAAAAAAAAAAAAAGGGGGGGGGACAGCTCTATATCTCCTGTTCCCGTTGTCAAAATTTAACTTGCATTTTCTATATCTTGAAAGAGCGACTTAGGATACATATTAGATTTATATATAGCATTGTTCTAACATAGGCATTTTGACATAAAATTGAACTTTTCGGAAATAACATATCATTTCCATATTTCGATTCTACGACTCAAATTATGTCAAAGTGCCAAACTTTGTAAAAATGGCAGGAGTAATTTTTTAAAAATTAGCTCTCAAAATTTTAGCTCCTCCATGTTAATTGAATTTAATATATTATTAATATTTCTTTTTTCATTAAACTTATATGAATCATCCTTTCACACTTCAAAATTTATAAATTTTTTAAAAACATTTTGAATTATAACCTACAAAATTTTTACCATCATCTTAAAGTAGATTATATTTTAAGCATACTTGCAAAAAATTACAGTTTTTTAATTCAAAATTTCTTAAGATATAGTATATGAATTTACATCTTAACGTGTTTTGAAATTTAACATATTTGTTATGAGTGATAATAATGCCAAATGTGGTTTATGCACTTTGTTAAAATTATTTGAAAGTATGAATGATGGCCATATTTCTATACTTTTTCCGTTCATGTACGATGAAAAAAAAAAAAAAAAAAAAAAAGGAAAGGATATTAGGTTACTATAACTTAAGAAATTCATCAAGTGAATTATTCTTGATGCAAACTGAAAAAATGCTCCAAGATAAATTTTTAAATTTCTCACCAAAAATGACAAAATTTAATATCTAAGCATAATTTGACTTGTAGAATCGAAATATGGAAAAAAATTGGTATGTTATTTCAGAAAACGCTCGATTTTGTGTCAAAATATCTATGTTAGAAAAAGGCTGTATGAAATCTTATATATATCCTGATTTGCGCTTTGGAGACATGGAAAATGCAAGTTAAATTTCGACAATCAGTCCAGTAGAAGAGAGATATAGAACTGTGCCTTTTTTTTTTTTCGCAGTGTGCATACATATATGTATGTATGACTGTGTGTGTGCAATAGGAAAAGAAATTTAGAAGTACTGATGTAAGAACACTGAGACGCAGAAATACTGATGGCGCAGCATGTAGATAGCATAGAAAGTAGATTCATATTGAATAGGAAGACTTCTGATTGCATAGAATGCTAAAATGTCGAATCCATAATGACTAGGAAACTTCTCTTTTTTTTGGTGCAAGGTGTACAATATCTACTTATTGTTTTTAAAAGTACTTGAATAAATAAAAGCTTCTCTTCCCTTTTTAGGATTTTCTCAGTGTAAAAGTATAAGAAAACTACAAAATAAATGAAGTTAGTCAAAAATAGAACACCTAATGGGATATTAATATATTTTACTTCAGTGTCATGCTATAAATAGTTCAGTAACAAGAATTATGTATTAAAAATTGAGTGTAAGATAATTTGGAGTTCTTTTGAAATGCCATTATTGTGCAGTGTGAAAAACATCTTGAGTTTTCATATTTCAGGGTTGACAGCTATGATTTGGGATTAAATATAAGTTTGGTAATGGTAGCAATCAGTCAGTGAATTTAAGAACTTATATTTTCAAATTCTAGTTAAATGACATTTCTCATAAATTCAGAATTAATAAGTCATTTCATGTTAAATGTAGTATTGCTGGAAAGTAACTTCATGGAAGATCTCAAAAAGAGTGAACAACCATGGACATTATTTGTGCCAACAGATGAAGCCTTTAGACAATTACCAAGAAGTTTACAAAAACAGATTGATTCTAAAGAAGGTTGCATTGAAAGTAAGTTCACAGTATTAATAAATTCTCTTTTTTCAATAAATGAGATTTGAATGTAGAATTTGCTTTTGGATAAGTTATATGTATTAAGGATCAACTGCTGTATATTAAATTATATTTATTTCAGAATTTTAGTTTTTTAAAATGAAAGAAAAGTGAAACTAAAGAAAAGAAATTTAGAGAGTTACATGAAAGTCTAGAAAGTTTTATATAAAAATTAATTTAACAAATATTTTTAAAGGTAATTAAACATAAAAAAGATAAATTTTGAAAGAATTACCGTAAATATAAGGTATAAAGAATAAATGAAGGAAGAAATTATTCAAGTCTCTGTAACACATGCAACTGATTTCCAAATTTTGCTTTTGTATGTTGCTCTAAGTTCTGATATATAACTGTATTCACCTCTCAAATAACAGCTTAATTAGACTAGAAGAGAAACACGCTAATGTGACTATCAAAATCGTAAAAACAACCTTGTATTTAGCGTAAGTATAATGAAACACTCGATCGATTTCAAGGGCAGCTAAAGGTCCCTCCTCATCAGAAGAAAGAAATATCTAGAAAGAAAAAAATAAAGGAGAAGGAGTCTCAGAAACACGTGGTCCTGTTTCTGAGACTTGTTTCTTTCTAGATATTTCTTTCTCCTGATGAGGAGGGACCTTTAGTTGCCCTTGAAATCGATCGAGTGTTTCATTATACTTACGCTAAATACAAGGTTGTTTTTACGATTTTGATTAGCAGCTTAATTGTTAAGAATTAAGAATTAAACTGTGAAAATTAATACTTAAAATAGTATTTCCTGCTTTAGAAATATTTTCTACAGTGTTTTTAGTTCCTCTCTTTGCATATGATAAGTTACATCCATTAAAATTATTTACTCAATCTCATTGTTAATGTAAAAGACACCAATCACAGTTTTGTATGTTTTTATATTATAATAATGAAAAATACAGTTTATTATCAGTTTCATCATTTATTGTTGGAAATTCATCATATGAAATAAAATTTGAGTATATTTTTTTAATGTATCAGTATAGCTTGTTTCCATTCTTAAAGAAACATAACTTTTTCAAAAGTGTTAAATTCAAAATTTAGAATACATATTCTGTTTTACAGATTACTTTTCCATTATCTAATTTTTATATGAGAACATAAGCACTATAAACTTTACCATTTCTATACTTTTTCTTGATATCTCTCTGCAAAACTACATGTTTAAATACATTCAATATAAGTTTCAAAAATATATATCCATATTTCAGGTATACTGCATCAACATATAATAAAAGGAACCATTTGCACACCTGCAGTTGTAAGTCAAATGAGAGTAAAGAATATTTTAGACAACAGCCTTCAATTAACAAAAGATGAAAGTGAGAAATTAAGAGTGGATGGTGCTCTAATAGATGTCGAAAACACAATGGGTACTAATGGTGTTATTCATGTCATTGACAAAGTTTTAATTCCACCTCAAGGTACTTTTGTTTTTGTATCTGTAAAATTCTAAAAAATTTAAAGCCTAAAATAGATTATTACCTAACATACAGAATAAATAAAATGTAGCTGTATAATTTTTCTTTAAATTAAATTTATGATGAAATTAGAGTTTATAAAACAAAGCTATTTAGAATTCACATTTTTGTAAAGAAATGTGGTTAGAAATAATGAAAAACACATTTGATATGCATGCCATTACTGATTAACATAATATACCAGTGATTTTAAACTGGTGGTATGCAAGAGAAAAATAGATGGTATATAGAGAAATGGTATTTTTAACTAATCAACTTAAAAAATCTAGCTATCAAATTTGTATTGCCTTTTTTCACAACCTATTTGTGTGAACAAGATTTTCTTCCATGTTTTATTTGAAAAATAAATACAGAACAAAATTAAAAGTGGATACTAATTTACAGTTAAAGCTAAATTAAATAAGGCCAATCATAAAGAAATTGATCTCTCTTAAACATACCTAAATTTCACATTAAATTTTAGAATTTAAGCATTATAACTTAAATGTGATAATTAAAATGCTAACCAATTTTTAATCTAACATTTTTTATGTGTGCAATGTGTTAAATAAACACAAATTGCCAGTAAATTATACAAATGGCAAAATAATGTATTTTTTAATATTTCCATTGAAAATTTGAAAAATAATCAATGTAAAGTTTTTAAAAAATTATCTAAAGTTTTTAAATTTTTGTTCAGATGGTACACGTTAGTCAGAAGGTTGAGAACCGCTGTAATATACAATCAAAACTTAATTGCTGCTATTTATTCAACAAACATACAAAATAGATTTTGTGTTTTGTCACAATCATCATTAGTTGTATAAATAACTATGTTGTCCTTACATATTAACCATGACCTTAAAATATTTTTCAGCACGAAGTCTTTTGAAAGCTTTAGAAGAAGAAGAAAGAAGGGATCTTTTAGACCTCATAGAATTGGCAGATTTGATATCAACTTTAGAAGAGATGCAAAATGTTACTTTCTTTGTTCCATCAGAAGAAGCTTTAAAAGTAAGTATCCATCACATAGTGTAATGTTTCTTTTTTTTTTTTGCTCCATAAAATGAAGCTATAAAAGTGTCCATGAGAGGAAACTTTAAGTATTCCATCATAATAAACTATAATTTATTACAGTACAAATTTCAAAATCCGGACGTCCATTATCCGGAATGATCTAAAATCCAGAACAACAACATTTTCCTTGGCTTTACGCATGCACATTTGATCCCCCCTCCACGCATAATAAAACATCTGTAGAGTTCCAATTCTTAATTTCACTTCGACACTAAATAAAATACCTTGTTATTGAAGATACATTCATTTTGGCATTAATTTGTACGATCAGTAATTTGGCTCTGTTGCTGCATATCTGCTTGGCACACATCTCCAGCTGAAACATTCCACATAGATACATCATTGATCTGATGCCAATCTGGTGAATCATTATTTATTATACTTTCCTTTCATCACCGCATGTTTATCAATATATGACAATTGGAGTAATGACTCAGGCAGCGATGCCTAAACAATTTTTTTATGTTAGTAATTGAATAACAAAGGAGTATGGTAACCTTTTATGTTGACATTGTGCTTCTTGATGATTACAGATTTAAGTTAAATGCGCTAAAAATGTTGACCAGGAAAAATTTAACAAAAATTTCTTTCCATATATTAAAAATAGATTTGGTTGATGATACTCATAGGCCAAAAGATTCCACTTACTCTTATTTGAATTAAGAATAACTGATTTGTTACTCACATAAACCCAGAACCAGCGGCAGGGCTCGTAAGTGGCACCGGGTCACACAATTTAGGACCCACAGAGACTGCATCAGGCGATAAGATATCTAGCGCTGGCTGTCAGTAAGGCTTAAGTATATGTGGGAATTAATTTATTCAGAACTCTGATAAGCCTTAAGCTTGCGCAAGAAATAGACATAAGTATAATAAATAACTAAACTAATACAATTCAAGCTTAATTGTCTCAGTGCGTGATAGAAGTAAGATAAAATTTAACGGAACAACTTGTCATTAATCGCTAAGCTCATGATGCATAACCAAATACGTATAGTGAATGACAGCTAAATTTGATGATGATAGCCATGAATTTTATAAAGGTTTTTGGATATCACAAAACAAAGGTGAAATTTTCCAATTAACGGATTTTGTAAAGAAATGTGGAGAAGCGGTTATAAATGAAGATGATATAAAAGAAGTTTTCCATTGTGACGACAATGCTTCTTAATCTTCAATCAATTAATAAATAACGAAATCGGTAGTATGGTTCTAGATCCAGAAAATACCACTATCGATAGCGAAGGAAGTGACAGAGAAGTTACTGAAAACGAAAAAATTTTGATTGACAAGTTAGTTCGGTATTCTCCACACAGCAAGTTACAGGACTTGAACAGCAACTTTGTAACTGAACAAGAAGATTGAGTCTGTCTATAGAATTAAAGAGAAAAGTATGAGCACAAAAAACAAAGCAACTTAAACAACTTATATTGAAAGAAATGTTTAATAAAGTAAATAAATAAATATTAATGCTGTTTTTTTTTTTTTTTTGTAAATCTTGATACTTTTTAGATCATAATTTCTCATTATTTCATAAATCACAATTTCATATTTTTAATTTTATAATTTCTACATGCCATCCTACTAGATTTAAACTGATGATCTAATATCCGGAATCGCCGAGGTTCTGATGAGTCCGGATTTCGGACTTTGTACTGCATTTAAATTTAACAAATAAGTTTAGATTCTGTTAATATTGTTACAAATTTTATACTTAGATTGGTAATTTTATTAGAATTATAAGTGAAATTATTGCATTTTTCTGTGTAATGTATGGCAAAACAAATTTTAAGAGAAAGCTATGTGGGGAAAGTGAGAATACAGGGGCAAGTGACATTTAACATTGAATAAATGATTATCTCGGTAATTTGGCAAGATATCGCCAAGCTGACAGTGGTTTTGGCAACATTTTGGTTTGGCCCCTGTATCAACATAATATGTATTGAAACTGAATATATGTAATTGACTATTATGTTAGCTTAACCATAATTCTACCCTCATATTGCTTTCCAGTAATTTTGAGAAGCAGATAGTACTAGAAATATCTTGGTGACCGGTTGAAAACTACTTAAGGTCGAAGAGAGAGCATCTTGTGTCAGTTGCATGGTTATTGTTTCTGCAAGTTTGTAGTTCCATGTGAACTGAGATAAATTTAAGTCAGCTTTCTCTTTAGATGTGCTTAGCATTACATTGTGTTTAATTCTTTTAGTAGTTAAGTATTGCTACTGATTTTACCATGTGATACTTTGACACTTGTATGAGTACTTCTGTAGAAAATTCCAGAACTTTGAAATGTTTATTTTGATAAAATAAATTTTTATTAACCTATCATTAGACCTGCATGCATTCAAACTGTTATGAACCCATACGCACGCAACAATATAGAACTTTTTATTGTCATAATTGTTACATAAAAAATACTTTTATTAACATAATTTTTATTTTTAGAGTTTATCAAATGATACTTTACAAGAGTTGGTGGCCAATCCAGAATTACTCAAGAAATTGCTGCAACATCACTTAGTTCAGCCACGAACATCTGGTAGCATGTTTGCTGATAACAAGAAACTTCAAACGATGAATGGTCATGACATACATATCACACTTCATGAAGTGGTAAGAAAAGATATTTCTCAGCAAATTTTTTTTAAAAAAGATCTTAAGCTTTCTTATGGCCTAACAGTCCATACTAAATGTTTTTAAAACTGTTTTAATATATTTTTTTCTTGCCTTTAGTTTCCTGGAATTATTACAGGAGCTACTGTACAATGTGCTTATGTCGTAAGCCACGATAATCATGCTTGTGGAGCTGTTATTCATAAAATCAATAAGGTAAGAACAACAAGTATTGAGAATATTTTAATGATTTAATTAATTACCATTTAAAGAAAATGAAGATTTGTGTGTAATTTAATTCTACAGGAAATGTTCCCCTAAAATTAAATGATTTCTATAAATCATGCAGTAAAATAAATACATGAAAAAATGTTTAAAAAAATTTATTTTGTAATTTTATGCTTCTCCTGAGTGTTAGTCTGATTATATAGTTTAAGACCAAAGTTCCCAAAACTATGCCTGCGTGTACCATGGCGCCTGCCGATCGTTTAATGTGTGACATTTGCTGTGCAATCACAATAAAAATGTTTTACTTTTCAATAAAATTCTAAGCTCTCTTTTTTATGTGCATGTATTATTAATGATAGCCAACTATATATTCACCTTGAAAAAGTAAATGGTGCCCGCTGTCCAATAGATATTCCAGAATGTGCAAAAGGTTGGGGACTCTGTTTTAAGTAAATCAAAAATGTAAGACTGAAATTTCACATCAATGGCATATTAATAATTTTAAAATACACTAATTTTTATGAAAATTATATTCTTAAATAATAATTAGCCACCAAAAACAAGCCCTCTCTCATTTATTAATCAATATAAAATTGGATTTCTACTTATTATTAGTTATTCATTGCTTAAGATCATATTAAGCTAATAAAACAGTAAAAAGTATTTTTATGCGATTGTTCGTTTTTTTTCTTTCATGATTAATGAGAAACGTAATTTTTACTTTTTCTTTTTTATTCTTTCATTAAATCCATTCAGAAATCATGTAATTACTATTTTGGGGAGAATGGCTAAAGTCAATTAATATTTCTAAATGCTTGTTATGTAATTTCTCCTGCTTTTTAGGTACTTATGCCTCCAAAAGGCAGCATAATTGAAATGCTGAAAGACATGGAAGGTCATGATATAGTAGTGAAACTACTTCAGAATACAGAGTTAGAAACAAAGCTTCAAGAAGATGGACCTTTCACATTTTTAGCACCCAATGATGAAGCTTTTGAAAGACTAAGTGATAGTCAGTTAGAAGATTTGTTAGAAAATAAAACCAAAGCAGAACAAATATTGAAGCTACATGTTTTACCAGGTGAGAATTTTTTTTTTCAAAATGCTTTCATGTAGATTTTTAAATAAGCAGTAGTAAAATTAAAATAATTGTATATGATACAGTTCAGCTCTAATGTCATAACTGCATATTTCGACAAGTAAACATTGGCATGTTTATTTGTAAATATGCATAATAATTGCAGCATGCTTACTAGTAGAAATTTTTTAAGAGTTAAAGCAAATTTACACAGTTACTGAAAGCTTTTAAAATGTTTAAATAATGATTCTTTATAAATTCAAATTAAATTTATTTTTACAAAATAGATATGGACATTTTAAAATGTTAAAACTCTCACCCCCTCCTTGATAATTATATTGAACATTAGTAAATGTGAAACTGATTTCGCGTTTTTTGCATTTAAATCATAAAATTCAGTTCAACAGCAATGTTGCAAAATAATTTTACATTGAGCATATCTTTAGAATTTCAGATACACAGTCTAGTGCACTGGAGATAAAAAGGTTTTTTCTGTACAACATTGCCATGGCTCGCTTTGAAATCCTTGAATTTGTTAATCAAAAATTAGTTAAAGTTTTACAAAATATGAAATCGCTAAAAAAAAACAAATTCCAAATTCGGGCTTCCAGATGTCCATATTCGCAGTAGAATTTATGTCATTCAAAATTGAATGGCTTTAGGTACCATCATTTTATTATAATGCGAGAAACATACACACATTTATTCAGATTCTGCATTATTTAATTCTTCAAGTATAATACAGGGCGATTATATTTGGTGGCAGCAGTTTGAAAAGTGAAACGGACATTCAGAGCGATTCAACACAAAACGAAAACATAAACATTATTTAAATAAGATAATTAGTTAAGAAAATAAATTTTGTTACATTTAAGCTATACGAAATAAGTCTATTGGCAGAAGAATTCACCCTTCCTTATCAAAGACAGATAAGAGGAATAGTATTAAAAAAAAAAAGGCAAAATATTTATATAAGAAAAGATATAAACATTTTCTGTGTCTTAAAACTCTGTGTACTGCCCCTGCGATTTCCACAGGATATAAAATCCGTCTCATAACATGGGTCACGTGAAAATAGCATGTGTAAGTTTATTTATCTTATTTTCCATATGGATCCCCCTTTTTGTCTGTGTAGGCTGTGAATATTGTAATAGTCATATTTCGCATTTTGTTTTGCACCTAGATGGCACTATAGGTTTATATCATTGGAAGGGACTACTATCGTTTCTTCAAAGCCGAACACGATCGGCACTGTTGCTTCTTTCATTGTGAAATGATAAGAAAATATTAAATATGCTTAGTTCTTTTCATGATGCATTATCTGTATCAGTTTATACAGGGACAGCAGAAGAAAAATTAAAGCCAAAAATGATTTATGATCATAACTTCAGAGTGGGTGGTGTCAACAGATGCGATCAGGAGAAGTTGTACTACCCTAGTACCAGAAAACAACTTAAATATTACAAGAAAATATTTTTCCATATATTGGATCAAGCAATACGAAATTGGGATATAATATACAGAAAAATAACTAACACACACACACACACAAAAAAAAAATCCCTTCTTGGTTTCAAGCTAGGAATCAAAGAAATCTTTGACAAATACTCTTCTGCTCATCAATACGGTCAAGTGATGATAGCATGAATATTATTCGCCTTGAAGGGAGGCATTTTGCAAGCCACATACCACCTAGAAGGCAACCTAGAAGGCAGTGTGCTGCTCCAAAAACAGACAACAATGGGAAAAAATACGTAAAGATACTTGCGTTTAGTGTGAAGAATGTAAAGTTGAATTATGTCTAGAGCCATGTTTCTGCACAAAGAGTTAACTGCACAAAATTTGTTTATGTAATAATAAGTAATATAAGTAACAATAAGCTTTATAAATTAGTTAGCATGTATATTTATCAAAAAGATCCTGTGTATGTTTATATATTTATTCCATGCATGCTAAAATCATGTGAACCATACTGTATGTTCTTTAAAAATTAAAAAAAAACTATTAAAATTCCTGCATTATACTAATTTTGTTTACAAAGATGTAAATAGTAATATATGAAGAAGGGGGAAAAAAAAGCCCCGTATTTTAGGACCAGAATGTATCAAAATCAAGGAGTACACGAAGGGTTAATTTTAGTTATGTAAGAAAGTAAATGATCACTAATGTTCCCCATTTATAATTAAAGTCACGCAGAGAATAAATTAATAGAAATGGGTGTTTTACATAGACATTTTCAGAAAAATATTTTGATTTTCTTAAGATCTTTTGTACCTTTTATAGAGACCTGAAAGCAAATTTAGTAGAAGACCTAAAATCTAAAATTATCTGAAATGAGTTCAGTCTCTCAGATATCCGTAATGAAATGATTAAGAATATGGCAAAACTGCAAAAATTTCCACTTAAAAATCGGAAGTAAATAGCAGATGATGTCATGACAAAGGGAAATATTGGTTTTGAAATAATTTTCGATTAATGTAAAAGAGAGAGAGGAAATAAACTGAAATGAAGCAGCTGGATTAAAACAGTGGCATGACGTAACTCTATTAAGCTTCAGTTGGAGGGTGCAGATGACTTTAACAATTGTTAAGGACAAGTTTCCTTATCTTCAAGAAAAGTACCATATTCTGGTACTTTTGTGGCTGTTAACAAAAATATTGTAAAAAAAGTTGCCGAACTTGAATACATAACTAAAAATTCATTTGGTGCTACTTTCTCGAGCAAGACTGGAATAAGAGCAGTTTTTAATTTTTATATAGCCTGAGCTAAAAATCGTACTTTTTGCATCAATTCTAAATAAACTCGTAAATTTCCCTACAAATAATTCCAAAAAAAGATATTTAGGGAAAAAAAACTGTATAAGCAGGAAGTAATGGTTTTTCATAGTTTGGAAGAGGAAAGAGAACTCAAACTAGAACAATACTAAACTATAAAACTGATTTTTGCAAAATGTAAAATATAATATTTTACATGCATTTTATCCATGTCTTCTTTTGTATATAGTTGAAATGTATTTAATGGTATTAGTAATATGTTTAATACTGTGTATGAATTTTGTTCTTTATAGAAATAATTAATTCTGTTTATGTATTTAATATAATTTCTCTGTAATTCTTATATTTCTCTGTAACTGTCAAAAAGAAACTAATTTCTTTTATGTGCTTCTTTAACCTTCCAGCATGCGCACTTGGCAATTTTACATGAGCACGCGCGCATCCTATTTTTTACGACATCCATTATTTTACCATTTTTGGCACGAAAAACGACAGAAATGAGTGAATACTGATAATAAATTTGTTAAGAAATAAAATATTAATCTTATTATTGCAAACTATAAATGATATCCCATTCAAATATAAGTTAATTATTTTTAAGTTCTTATGTTAGTGAGATGGAAATGCAAAGATGTGTTTCATTATAGAAAATTTTAAGTTTAGCATTACTTACTTCAATTAAATTTACTTCTTACTGGTTTCAAAAACGCACTTTAAACTAACTTTAATGTTTTTATTTATTTCTAAAAAATAGAAATAAAAGAAAATAAGGAATAGAAATTGTATTAATAACACAAACTAATTAATTGTCTCACTAGCAATTAATAACACAAAATTACAAAATATTTGAGAAAAAAATTTTGTTTCCTAATTTTAAAACACGACCGAGCGTGTGTCGTAAATTTTATGAAAAAGCTGCCATGTAGCACAAAAGCCCAGTTAAAAAAAAATTCAAATGACTTCCTGTTGGCACATTCTCTATGATGTGGAGAAGGGTAGAAAGGAGGAATAGAAATGACCTTCAGACGTCTCAGCTTCGATATGCAAATAATGTGCATTGAAAACTTAATTTGTTGTAAATTTTGTGCATATGCACATGCTGGAAAGTTAAAATTTGTTTTATATTTGTTGCGTCCCCTCCCTGTTTTCTTAATCTAATCATTTTTTATTTATGACCTGAAACTTAGAAAAACTCTAAAAGCCACACAACCTCAGCCTCCAGATTGTGTGGATTTTTTCCCTTCTACTACAGAACTACAATAATAATAATAATAACTATTTCAATTTCTAAAACATCAGAAAATTATAATTTTAGAGAAAAAAATTGATTCAGATTTTAGAATGGGAATAATTTATTTTGTTCTGAAACATATTTTTCTTTTGAAGTTAAAATCATCAGATTTCAACAAGATTTTTAACCTGTAAAAATTTTTCTTTCAGCTTTTATCACTAGCTTATGCATTCAGATCACAAAAAGTAAATTAACACTTTACCGACCGCTAGCAGTTCAACAGCATACACATGTCCGATCGGCTGCTCAGCAGCAGATTCTCCCTAATAATAAAATGCAGATGAAATAGCAAATGGCAATTGTTTATCCCCATGGCTACCGATTGAAGGCTATTTTTAGAGAGCCCCGAGAAAAAAAGAGATTAATAGGCTATTGGTCGGTAGGCGTTGGCGTAAAAAAGCCGATTATTAGGCTATCGGTCGGTAGGCGTTCGCGATAGAAAGCCGATTAATAGGCTATTGGTCAGTAGGCCAATTAATAGGGGATTGATCGGTAAAGTGTTAATACAGTGTTTTCCATTTTATGCAGCCAAGTGTTTCCCCAACTTTCCAAATTATTCCAAAACTGCATATGTTGAAGGCTACTACATAAAAATGGTATAGTTCGACTGTCTCATTAGCAACCGTGGCTGGCATTCTGTAAGAACACACAAAAAGAGCATTATTACCGTAATTTTCGGAAGAAACGCCACGGCGTTTACGTGTTTAAAACTTAAATTTTCAGCGGGTGCGGCGTTTCTACCCATGCGGCGTTTAGGTGCACTAAAAATAGAATATTTCCTATGATGGTCATTGTGCATAGTTTGGATGGCCTTGTCATTGTGCATAGATTGGTGCTGTTCCCACACAAAAGACCACTCAGTTGCTTTTTTTGTTTACGTTCTTTCCCTTGAACGGACCTACATGCCTTATTCACCCTGAACGAGATCTCAGAACAATAACATTCTTCCCCCTTTCAAATCAACATTCTCATCAGTTTGAATAGTCTCTCTCCTCTGCCATTCGATGAATCTTCCAGGACCCATCCTCTTTCCACCCCTGCCTTTTCTGCAATTTTTTTCAAATGCGGACACGACTCCACCTGCCTCGCAATAACGAACTCTGACGTATTTCCCCCTCAGCATGAATGGATTTTTCTTGGCATTCTGCCAAATACAGATCCCATCAGTTAGGGTACAAGTACTTGTTGGATAGTTTTTAATTAGGGAGCGGAAAATTTTTGAAAATGTCTCTAAACGGCACAGAAGCTATACATTTCTTACCTTTAATTTATTTTTGAGTTATGGTTTCATTTCATGCATTTTTCTTAACTGGTATGTCATATATCAGGACTTGAGTTTTTGCATCTATACGGCTCACGACGATGTCACGCGCACTTTAATCTATTGCGGCGTTTACGCTGATGCGGCGTTTCTGTGTAATTTTAATTTTTTTCCCGCCATTTTTCTCGAGTGCGGCGTTTACGCTGATGCGGCCTTTCTTCCGGAAATTACGGTATTTGCTGTGACATGAAGAAAGGTCACATGAAAGTCTTCTCTTCTCCAGAAAGACAGAATTTATGTGCTTGAGAGAAAGAAAGTCCCCCTTCCCTCCACCCTATTTTGAGAATAATTCGGTCTGAATGGTGCATGTGTGTTTGTGCTCATGGTTGCGGATGAGGGGATTGAACCATATAATAGCTGTCAAAATGTATAATTTAGGAGGAGGATGAACAATATGCAACATCATTAACTACAGAAACAGCTTTCATATGCCTAACGGAGTAGAGGGTGTATGCACTGAAAAATCTGAAAATCATCAAATTTTCACCTTCATCCCCTACTGAATATTTATTTACTCTTGCAATAGACAACTACAACAAAACAAAAGAGGCCGGGTGGGGGGGGAGATTTGCTAAACCTATAAATCCTATATGCATGTTTCTAGATTCTGATAGATATAAATATTTGTGTTTTTATTCCGGCTCTCATCAAGCGATTAGCTCTGGAGACTATCAATGAGATCCCACATTCATCTTCAGATTAGAATTAGAGGAGATGAGGCAATTTCTGATAATGGAGTGTTCATACCAAATTCTACTGGTTTTGTGGAATTTAAGATAAGAAATCCCAACCTTTATTCAGTTTTAGATCAGAGCTTATTGCTGTCAGGAGGGGCTTACAATATGTGTACCAAATTCAGAAACAATTACATGATGTCTGGTTTCTAACTGATAGATGCACTTAAATTCAACACCTATCTAATTGGACAGCGATAGGAGACAAAACAAGCCTGAATATCTTAGATCGTCTTGTCTGGCATTCTTCTGGACACTCTATCCATTTTCAATGGATCCTATCTCATGCTGAGACCAATGAAAACAAAAGGGCCGACTACCTGGCTAGGACTACTGTCATGGAAGGTCCTTGTGGAGCTCTCGCATATAGCAAAATCTGCTCTCTTAGGGAGATGGAATTAGACCAACTTTGAAGGATTCAACTTAATCACGTGTGGTATTTTGGAAGAAGCCTGGGTGGGTCCTTTCAGCTATCGCCTAGAAAATATTAGATGGCCTTCTCGCACTTCATGCATGCCCATATTGGAGCACTCTTATTTCAGCAGAGACATGAGATCTATCCTGAGTGCCACTGGTTTAAGGCTGACATGGTCACTTTGAACCATATTTTAGCTCACTTGGATTTTAATAAAGACAAGGTCCTTTAGGATCCTCTATTGTTTTTAGACTTTTTAGATATTTTTGGATTTATGAAGATTGTGTAGCTTTGCTGGACAATCTGGGATTAGTATCAACATATTTTTCTGTTTCATATAAAGGCTATATAGTGATGCTGCTATATAATAGCTTTGGAGACATTTTGTTTCATAAATATAAAATCAGATTTATCACTAAGAATACATTTGATGAGATAGTTTAATTTTTTTAAAGCATCATTAAGTCAAAAATATATTTAGACATTGGTAGCTCATTTAATATTTTTGAACTGTAAATGATCAATTCTACATTATTCAAAACTATGTAAGATGTGGGACTCCAGGGACTATATAAACAGAAGCATTCTGGAACTATTTTAATAATAACATACGGAAGGGAAGCCATACCAGTTTGAAAGTTTTGGCTAATTTGTAATATTCTTTTATTTTTCCACTCTTTATATATACTTAATTGTATTTTTCTCTACTTTAATACTAGAACTATTGTGCTGCAACCAAGTAAGCCATGCATCTCCCTTCCATCGGCAATTTGTTAGAACATATGACGGCAGCATTTTACCACTTCACAGAGGATTAGGAGATAGAGTGAGATTCGGAAGAGCCAGAGCAGTACAGTGTGACACAGCAGCTACAAATGGACTTGTGCATTCCATTAATAAAGTCATATTACCACAAAGGCCAACAACACACATATTTGGTATGGACTTCTGGCCTTTTTTTAAGTAATTACAACTGAAGAAACTAGGAGTGTTTTTCACTCTTTTACATGTGTTATAATGAAAATAGTATTTTTGTATGAGGTTTAATTTATTCATAATCCATTTGTTCAGTTCAGTAAAACAGTTTTATTGTATACATTGTCATTCTCAATTTTGATATGCTATTAATAACAACATTCATTGAAAATTAGACTTAACGTTTCATTTGTGGCTTCTGATAAAAATAATTTCTATATTTTTACTAATGAAATAGCTTTGAATGTTGAAAGACCTTGGCTAGAAGACAATTTACACATCAGAATCTGATGTACTACTGCTGTTATCCTGCAAAGCAAAACAACAACAAAAAAAAAAGTACATAAAATAAGTTTTCAATATGACAGAATAATATTAAAAAATTACCTTTAGATTAAGTTAAAATTTACGAATATGATCAAATTAGTGCTTTCAGTAAAGATGAATTTATTAGAAACTGTAGAGTATTAAAATACAAATATATTTATGTCTTGTTAATTTTAAGGTATTAATTAGATTATAAAATAATATTTTAACTTCATTAATGTTTAGTGAATGATGTTATATACATGATTAAAGAATTTAATATGATTAATCCTCAAGTACAAAGGGCACAAAGATTAGATGATTGAAAATGCATATGCTGGAAACTGTTCATGATACAATTATACTGCACTTGCCCATTTCCATAACTTTCCCACAGGCAAAAAACAAGGTGTTTTTAAATGAATATCGGGGTTTTAATGCTTTGTAGTGTATTTATTACGTAAAACTTAAAATCATAATTAATACATGCAATAATAATTAATACATGCACATATTCGAAAGAGCAACTCGAACAGTATTGTTGATATGTGCATGCATCAGGAAGCGCTAGTAGCAAAAATGGCTACTAGTGAACAGAAAGCTTTTTGTGTTCTGCAGTTTGCAAAGACCAAATCTGTAGTTACTGTGCAATGTGCATTCTGGATTAAGTTCAGATGTGATCCTCCAAGTGATAATAACATCCATAGAACCAGTGTGAAAATACCAGCTGCCTTTGTAAAGAGAAGAAGTATGGGACAACTAAGGGTTTTCGACTTGATGTGCGCCATGTAACGAAAGGTGCTCACATTGAACACTTGTAACCTTGCAGTTATATAATTGTACAGTTTGCCCTTTAATTTCATGTATTCATTCCATTTTAAGTTTTACATAATAAATACTACAAAGCATTAAAACCCCAATATTCATTTAGAAACACACTGTATATATCTCAGCCACCTTTGCATTAATTAGTATAGCATCTTAATCATAAAAGTTAATGACTATAATTTTGGCAATGGCTTGTGCTACCCAACTTATCTGCAAAAAACAGTACCTTTTTATCATTTATGAACAGTATTTTTGAACATACATGAATATAGTTTTCAGATACCTGCAATGTCTACATACAAATTTATCCAAGTTTGTAAAAGAAATTTTTATATCACTGTATATAGTAAACAGCCTACATTGATACAGTGTACAGAGTGTATAGGAAAGTCTCTTTAACCTGAAAATTCTTGCGAATGGAGAGAGCTATAGCTATGTAAGTGAGGTAAATGTATAGTAAAGTGACTACGCCCAACCTAATGCAAACGAGAGCAGTGCCCCTGGTGGCAAAATTTAGAAGATAGGTATTGCAAATCGAAAATGAAGAGATAAAGCAAAATTTCTAATTAGAAAGTTTTAGAGCATCAATTAATTAGTATGACATGACATTTGGTTCACAGAGATAAGATAAAGTGTTCCTTGTGTACCCAAAGATGTCCTCAATTGATGCACAATGATTCTACTCCACAGATTGTGACATTGTAATGTACTGTAATATCTGTAGATATTTAATTTCCAATGCATTTAAAATTTTACTTTAAAAGCTGTTGGTGCTTGCTTTATACAAACTACATTAAAACATAAATTAATGAGATCCTACAAAAGGTATATTTCTTAAAGTCATGTATTAAAAATAATCTTTTCTTAGAGTTAGAATTTTGGAGCTGTGTGAAAATGGCGAGCTGTTCCAATATTACGAGATGGTGTTTATTACAGTGAATGCTAATGAAACACAACACATGCTGCATGTGAGTATGCTGCTCGTTTTCCAGATGGCCGCATCCAAGCATGGTTACAATCACAAATATAGTGTGATGGCTCGGGACAGGAAGCACTAGAAGTCATCTGTGTTATGGCAGACCAGCGAGTGCAGGTATGGGTGTAATGCCAGAGAGTATTTTGGCACATGTATTTGCCCATCCACACAGTAGTACAAGATATATCAGCATGGCCTGTGGCTTAGCACAGGCCTGAGTATGGCAAATACTGCATGGCTAATATGCACATCCCTATTGTGTAACTTTGAAGCGCCCACCAGCGGCCGAGCGGTAAAATCGCTAAACACTGGTAGTTCGGTCAGAGGTTCGAATCCCACGAACGAGCTGGCTGCATGGGTGTTTTCGTGGTTTTCCCTATGTGTGACATGTATATGAGCCTGTTTCCCTTAGAAAGTCCTCCACGAAGGCATCCCTCCCCTTAGCCCTAGTGTGCTTTGCTGTATTCTCAATACATCACCACCACTATTTTGAAGCAGCACTGTAGCCATGTGAGCATCAGTCTGATGATGCAATTGGGCATTGATTAATGTTGAAGGTAACTCAGATTTTTTTTTTTTTTTGTTTAAGATTATTTGTATGGATATGGCACTGTTTCAACATATTCGATTATCTACCAGACACCAAGTGTGCTGGTCCATTAACATGTGGTGTGGTACTGGAACCTGTATTCTATGAGGGCACATTAAATGGACAGAGGTACCTCCAACTGTTACAGGATATCACGCTTAACTTTCTAAATGATATACCCCTGCTCGCATTACAGTTCTTGTGGTTCCAACATGATGGTGCCCTTGCACACCAGACAGCTGGAGTGCAAAGCTTTCTCAAACATTGTTTTGGACAACAAATTATTGGGTATGGTGGTAGTGTTGAATGGCCTCCATGATCACGACAGACTCTGTTGGATTTCTTCCTATGGAGTTACATAAAAAGATCAGGTTTATGCAACTCTGCATACAAGTTTGCTAGATCTACATCATCGTATTACAGTTGCCTACAATAGTGTGAAACCTTCCATGCTGAGAAATGTACATGCAGAATTACTCTCATGAATATAAATGTGTATCATGAGCAATAGTGAACTTTTTGAACATATTCTACAATAACATGCTATCACTGTGTGACAGTTTGCTTTTACATTTTGTGTGTGTGAAGTTATCAAATTGTATTGAAATAATAAGTACATATTTTATACAATGAAAAGGTGCATTCCTTTCAAACATTTATACAAAATGGAGTGCCTTGCTTGCAGGCATGTTTGGGTATAAAGGCAACAGTTTATTTCAAGCTAAACGAACCAAATGTTGTTTTGTACTAGTTAATTGATGCTCTAAAACTTTCTAATTGGAAATTTTGCTTTATATCTTTTCATTTTTAATTTGAAATGCCTACCTTCTGAATTTCGCCACTAGGGATGCTGCAGTCATGTGCATTAGTTTGGGCATAGTCGCTTTACTATACCATTCCTTCACTTGCGCACCTGTAGCTCTCTCCGTTCGCAACAGGTTAAAGGACTTTCCTATGCACCCTATATAAAGTGCCTGCAGCTTATTACATTCAAATTTCCAGGAACCAAAATGAATTATTAAGCAGTTATGACTTATATTCTATTAAAAAAACGGAAGTAATTTAAATAAAAAATAAGTTACAGTCAGCATAACTACAGTATAAATAATTTAATAAAAGTCTACTTAAAAGCAGTGAATCAATAAAAATTTGTAAGTCTTTAAATTTTGTAGCAAAATCGGTTAGTATTTATTAACACCACAATTTCGACCAGATCATATTCCTTCCAGAAATATTCCAAGATTCAAAATTAAAATGATGACAATAATAACAAAGGCTAGGATTATAATGATGAAGCAATGAGTGACACTGATTTTAACAGAAGAGACTCGCTGCGTATTAGGATAAAATAAAATTTATTTACTGCAGGTAGTCCATGAAATCATGGATGGGAACCAAGATATAAAATCTGGAAGATGATATATGTTATATATGTGTAGAGAAGTGATAGCAAAATTATATACTTAAAAGCTGTGGAAAATGGTGAGAAATGAACTTTGAATTGCATACTAAACCTGGAAGTTTTTTCTTATACATAAAAAGATATTAAAAAGCATAATATCTAATTTATCAATTAAATTTTCTTGGATGAGTGGATATATGAATAAAAGACACACAATGCTAAATAGTTTTTTAAATGCATTTTAAAATTTTTACAAGAATTGGATGATAAAATTTAGAAAAAGACAGTGAAATTCACAATAAGAAAATCTAACATACTTTCAATTATTATACAGAAATACTATAAACTGTGTGTCTTTTCGATGAAATCTCTCGCCAATTGTAATTGCAATGTGATTTTGAATTTAAATAGAATTCAAATCGTTAACACTGCAGTTATAATTTTACTTATAGTACACATAATTGCATAAAATACTGAGTACCTAACTTTTTCTTCCATTTTCATATTATTTCAGCTAATGAGGGAAGTTATGAAATTTCATTTTTATAATCTGTGTCAATTCACAAAAGTATTGAACCAATGTATGTAAAAACCGAAAGTGTTTAAAGAACTACAAAAATGATAGCAAAAGTATGCCAACATCAAGTAAACCGAGAAAAATACTGTAAATTCTAAGCCAAATACTTGAATTCAAAGGTGCTGAGCAAAAGCAGCTACCAGCAGTTTTACAAAATTAAAAAATTACAATTGAAAAACTGTTGTTGAACAAAGTGCAACAAAAGCAGAGTACTTGTTTTAAAGATATAAAAACTAAGAACCAATAAGAACCTAATCATAAAAAAATTTTTAATTAAAAAATGTGTGTGTGTGTATTGAGAATACGGTAAGCACACCTGGGCTACCTGCCTAAGGGAAGGGATGCCTTTCTGGAGGACTTTCTAAGGCAAACTGGCTCATAAACACGTTGCAAATGGGGAAAACCATGAAAATGCCCATGCTCCCAGCCCGTTCGCAGGATTCAAACCTCGGTCCGAACTACCAGTGTTCAGTGATTTTACCGCTCGGGGGCTGGTGGGCTTTAATTAAAAAATGAAATTTACAATTGCATAAATATTTGAATTTTAGCATTTATTTTTAATTATCATTTCAAGATTATTAGTAAATTAAATACTAATTATTATTTTACTTGGAAAGATTTAAAACTAATATCACAATATACAAATCGTCATCCATTAAATTCAGCTGCCAAATAAACACAAACATGATTGGAACGGAAGTGATTTTAATAAGCGGCAGGTACTGTATATGCCACAAACACATAAATATAATCTACAGTTATGATGCATATTTTTTTTTGTAATATAATGCCTTTACTATAATGTGCTCTACAAGCAGGCAGGTTTAACGGGAAAGGATTAAAGTAGATATTATTCCCTTTAAAACCATCTATAATATAAAACTAATTAGTTGTCAATAATAAGAAGCTCACCTCTGCAGGTAGACGAAAGGGTTGAATATTGGAACTTCCAGTTGATTCTCGTGCACAATATTCATGCAACATCCTCAGTGTTGAAAAACGAAGTTTATTTAATGGAATATCCATTTCAATACATTCATGCACTAAAGTAACAGCTTCTTTGTGTTCACCGTTGTAGACTGAAAATATATGTGCAAAATTTTAAGAAAGAATTTATAACAACCACTTCATACAACACAGAATTCTACAGAACAACAATAAAAGTATATAAATTTTTTTAAATAAAAATACATATGTAACACAAATGTATTATTTTCCAGATTTTTTTTAATAATAAACTCCTGATATTTATATGAATATATAATTTCATGCCATAAAATTAATTTTAAGGCAAGAAAATAAAGGTAACAAATGAATGGAAAGTTTAAATGTCTAATATCTCAATTATGCAAATTTTTACTCACAGAAAAAGTCAAGTAAAGTTTTATAAGCACATTGTATTACTTTCCTATCACTGCAATTTTTCTTCAAGAACTCTTTATACTTTTTCCCTATTTCAAGCTGAAATAGTATAGAATGCAGTTAAAAATAAAATAGGGAAATGAAAGAATTTATATATTAATAGTTATATCATGGTAACACTTTTTTAAGCAAATTATAAATAATATATGCTTACATTTTCAGCTGAGCGAATTTTTTGACACACTAAATAATTTGCCTTTTTAATAGAAATGGGATACATCTAGGAAAAGAAAGCAAATTTACATCATTCATCAAGGATATACAAAAACTTCAAATTTTCCTCACAGTAAAAATAACTTACTTTGTACAATGTCTCAGCCTCTGAGTATTCTTCAGACATAAAATTATAGGCCCAGACAACAGACAATGGCACATCAAAATTCAGTTTTTTCAAGTAAGTCTGTGCTAATTCTACAGCTACAAAAAATATGTAAAAAATTAGGGTCACATATCAGTTATCTTTATAAAAATTACATTTGATTATTGCTGTATAAACAAAATAAATATTTCAGCCTCTCCACAAACAGATAATTTATTTTATCCTGATTCCTGAATGTACTGCATTTATCATTCAAATGATTAATGAAAATGCAATGTCTGCATTTATTTATAATACAAATGACAAACATACGAAAAATGGTGCCCCACAATTTTTTCTTGTATGTACTGAGGTTCAAATCATGCGAATGGGCTGGCTGCATGCCTGTTCTTGTGATTTTCTCCATGTGTAACGTTAGTACGAGCCAGTTTAAAGTCCTCCACGGAGGCATCCCTCCCTTTAGGCAAGTAGCCTTCGAGTGCTTTGCCATAATCAAATAAACCTAAACATTGTATATATTTATAAATTTTCCAAATAAGAATTATATTGTACTGTTTTCCCAAAAATATGTACCTAGAGAGAAGAATGAAAAATAAGAGAAAGAAAATGATAACGGAGAACAATAATACTGGCCAACCAGATATATAGCTTTGGTAATCAAATTCTGTACGATATTTGTGAAAACAATCTGTTTGGATGTTTATTGTCAGATTTTGTTATTCAAAATCACCTGCATCAATACGTACTTACATTAATCAGTATATTGCTTCTTGAATAAATAAAACTACAAGATATAGCTAAAAAAGTAATCTAAATAGAAAAAAGTACCTATATTTTTATTAATTTTATGAATTAAATGCATTTATGATTTATAGCATTATTTTATTACTTTGTAATTTTTTTTTTCAGAGACTGATTTGATTTTGAATTAAAAAATTGTGAATAAGTTTATTTTAAGATAGGTTAATAACAAGTTTATTTTTAAGATAAAAAGAGGGTGAATTTTAAATAACTGAATGCAACAAATAGTTAGTAAATAAAAGATTAGAATTAATATTTTTCATACATGCTATAATAAGCTATAACAAGATTCTGGCTAAAATTTAATGATTAGTAGGATTTAAGATTTTCTTATTTTACTAAATACAACCAAATGAGTTAGCAAAAATCATATTCAGAACAGTCAAAATCATCAAATATTAAAAGGCTGAAACAAAGCTTTTATTTCCATTTAATTTAAAAATTCCTAAATTTGATCACATTAATGTAGTTTTTGTAGTGATTCCTAAAGAACTTAAATAATTTTTAATACAAAGCATAAAATAGAAAAATATAATTTTTAGCGTTAATTTTAATTCTCACAACTATAAAACAAAGCTTGGTTTATTGTTAGATTGAGGTTAAAGCAAAGCCCTTGGCTATCTGTGTAAGGGAAGGGATTCCTGTATGGAGGTCTTTCTAAGAAAAACTGGCTCGTATACTTGTTTCACGTGGGGGAAACCACAAAAACGTTCATAACCAATACATTTGCCTGGAATTGAACTTAAGTTGGAATTACCAATTTTTAGAAACTTTACCACTCAGCTGTTGGTCAGCCAATAAAATATGGCATGTTTGATTGAATACCGATGAGATTCAGGGGAAAAAAATGCTATTTGGAACATAAAGGAAAAAAATGCATAAGCCATGCCAGCACAAATAATATAATTCACAGGAATACACTGAAAAATGTATACCAAAAGAAAAAAATATGTGGTATGTGTGCTATTTTAGCACTAGCATTTTCTGTTAATACATAGTTTTAAAGAATACATCCTAATTTTTTACACTTATAAATTTTTATGTTTTACTACATTTATATATAATGGCAATCATCATACCTTCACATGTAGTATCTGGATTTTCTAGTAATTTTAAAAAACCAGAAACAGAAAAAGCAAGATCATTATTGTGTAGTCTTTTGCGCAATTCCAAAAGGTATGATTCAGGATTTTGCCTGAAATTCAAAATAATGCAGTTAAAAAAGTTAAATGTTATAAAACTTAAAGCAGTATTATAATACAAAAATTGTCACATGACTAAATGCTACATTTTAAATTTCTTAATGGCAGCTATTCACAGATTATGGTTTTATATACAGGATGTTCATATATTCTAATTTGAGAATAAATAATTTAAACATGTTTATGAACCAAATAATTTTTTTCAAGGGCAAGTGGATAGCTTAAAATATTTGTTATAGAATCAAAAAGTTGACCTAATCTTTTTAAAGGGACTATGGCCACTTAAATCTCCTGATTCCTCCCCCTCCCCCCATGATTTGATTTTTTTCCAACTCTAGAATTTTTTTACATTACAAACCTTATGTCTTTCTCATTATATTTAGACAGCCTCAAGATTTTATGGATAGTTCCAACACAGATTACCTGACCATTTCTTTAAAAAATCACATCAAGAAACTATGGAATGCAAGACTTCATAAATAGTCCCACTGATCACAATAATACTGAAACATTTCTAACAGAAGATTCAATAAGAAAACTAGAAAAGGATTTCTTCCTGAGGCAGGAAAAAAAAAAAAAAAAAAAAAAAAGAGAATTCCTGTTGTAACAATTGATAAGCTACAGGCTCTTGTATACCAAATCAGCAAATTTGATTTAAATAAAATATTTGCAATTCTCAGAGAAAAATATCAACCTAAAATCGAATCTCCCAATAAAAGAGAGAGAGACCAGCTGACCTTATCAATGTAACTCTTACAATCAAACACATTAGCAACTCTATCAACAAATAAAAAATATAAGAATAAAAATGGCAATGAATCACTGTCCAGGGCAAATGAATTAGAAAAATATCCTTTCTCCTGTAACTACAAGATAAACTGGATAAATCTCAGTAAAGAGTTGCGAAATTTATGCACTGAAGACTATGATGCTGTAATCAAAAATCATTCTCTTCTTATTTGCATTAAGAATTCTACTGACTACAAAGTCCCTGCACGATATTTACAGAAAAGTTTGAGTAAATTTCATATTTGCCAACTGAACAATGAGCAAACTGTAAAACCCATCTCAAAGAAAATACCTAGAAATATTTCTAAACAGGAAATAAGATAAAACCTGATTGTCAGAAAATTATGAAAGTGAACCAATTAACTTGAATTATGTAACTGAAAGATTTCTCTATATTTTCTGGAACTATCCAGAACTACTGAACAAAGAGTGATATTTTGCATTAATAACATCATGAATATAAAAGTTTATAGTGAGCAGTTTCAGTTAAGAGGCTATCCAGTACTCTCATTTTAATGTACACTGCTGGCTGTTAAAATTGCTACACCAGGAAGGAAAATAAACAGCAGAATCTTATTTATTGTACACATACTTTTAATGGGAGGAAAACATGGCTAAATTTGCTGGTGGTTTGGGGTGAACAAAAATGGCTGTAATCTGGCTCGGCATTGAATTGAACTGAGATTGGAATGAAGTATAGCATAAAGTTGCAAATAAAAACAAAAATAATGTACAAGTACAAAACTATATTTCTTTTGATGCCAGTCTCAGCAAGAACTAAGAATGATAGAAATTTTCACTCTGTTCACTGCATGTGAAACACCCTTTTCATTGCACCACAGTTTGTTTTTTCTTAATGTATTGTTCCCCTTTTCCCTACTGAAAAGCAATTTTCCAAACAGAGGGATTAACTTTTCATTTTATTGTTCCCTTGTCACAAAACTAACTTTCATTAAATGCAAACTTGCCTCTGAAATCTCAAACGATTATTAATAAATTTCTATTTTTATTTATTTCTCTACCACTCTTATTTTTTTTAACTTTTTTTTCTGTGTCCTTTAAATTGAATGTCCCTTAATAAGAGGTAAATAAATACATTAAAGGACCTATTCAAAGGTTCCAGCACAAACAGAATTGTCCCTTACAGGAGGTGCTACTGTAAATTATTTTATGATAAGTTTAAAAAAAAAACTTATATATTCACTACCAATTTAAAATTAAAGTTTGCTTAATTTTGCATATTTCAGAAATGATTAATAGTTAAAACATTTAAACAGAAATGATAGAATAAAGATTTTTTTTCCTGATGCTTTTGATTCAATTAAAAAATCTTCAAAGCAAATGATAAAAAAAAATCAGTGTCACTCAGAGGATTCTAGAGTAACCATCAAATCAAGGTAATAGCAAGATGCAGGAAATAAACATTCTTTTAAAATAAATAAGTAGGATAAAGCAGTTTTTTATTAACATACAAAAGTACTACAAAACATTCTACATATAAATTTTATACAGAAAATGTTTCGCAAAACTTCATACAATGTATTTAGTCTCAATATATTACAAATAAATTTTGTTATAATAATACAATTGAAGATTATCAGCTTCGATTTTATGAACATGATGAAAGATATGGCAAAAGAACCTTAGACTGATATATCCAGTAATATAGTTTTGAGTCACACGGCATATATTATACATCAAGTGACATTGTATACATATTATGCACCCCCCCAAAATGGCTGTCAAAAACTTTTTTTTTTAATTAAGCATCTCAGATAGGTTTTCAAAAGCAAGATATTACTGTGATGGGAACTTAAAAATTTTTCTTCTGAAATTAAATGATATATTTATTAATTTCAAGAAATTAATAAGATGTATATTCAGTATTTTGTGAAGTAAATAATTGTAAAGAATAAATGTTAATATGTCAGTACACATTATTCTTTATGTCCTTTACAGGTTTATACAAAAAATAACATATTTCTTTCAAAATTCTTTTACAGAAATGAAGGAAAAAATACCTAAAAGACCAAATGTACAATGATAAAAATTTAAGATTACAAATTTTATATACATAAATAAGATTAAAATTTTTAATTTAAATGTGATAACTTATTTTCCATGTTTTTTATTATATTAAATCAAAGATTAGGTGGTAGATAGATCAGTAATTAGAACAAAATATGTGAGATTGCACTATTTTGGAAAAATGCTCTCCTAGAGGATTTTCAGGCCTCTTATCATACCTTGAAAAATTATTATAAAAATATTTGTATAAAATATTTTGCTTAAGGAATGTAATCCAAACATTACAATACTATATTATTAATTTGGCAATTAACAAGCACATCAGTGGTGTGAACAATTTGATTATATATATGTAGGATTCTTAATAAACATATAATGTGACTAATCAAAATGTCAAAACAACTGCCATTTTTCAAAATGTCACAGTTTTTTAAATATGATTTTGACATATTTTCTCAGGCCATAATCATCTTTTTTTAAAGGCATTTCCTTGTATATTTATATATACACATATAAAAAGGAACATGATAATATGCTAAAAATTAAAAACAAATTTTTTTTTAAAACCATCCTCACTATAGCTGCAGAATTGAAGTAAAATAGACTTTAAGCATCTATAGTTAATATTAAATTGGAATCAAACAAGGCAATTCCTCAAGAATAATTAAATAAGAATTAATAATTGCAACCATATATAAGAGGTTTTACACAATACCGAAACAAATTAAAATAAGAATTCAATTAAAACAAATTCGAAAAATAATAATGGAAAAAGGAAAATATACAAATTAAACAAATTTAATCCTCATTCAGAACTCGTCAGAGGAAAATGAATTAAAGCTTCATAAAAGTCGATTAATATGCTTCGTTCTCCTGGTTCATTTGAGATCAAAAACTGAAAAAAGTTCAATTAAATTTTCATTTTAGACATTAAAGTTCATATAAAACCAAAAAAATTGAATCTCAAATTTGCATATTTTCCTTTTTGCATTATTATTTTTTGAATTTGTTCTAACTGAATTCTTATTTTAATTTGTTTAGATATTGTGTAAAACCTCTTATACACGGTTGCAATTATTAATATTGTTGAGGAATTGCCTTGCTTTGATTCCAGTTTAATATTATCTATAGATGCTTTAAGTCTATTATACATATATAATTATATAGTATATTGCTCATTGCTGAGAAAATTATCTTGATTAAAAATAATCTTATATATATGTATATAAATGTCTGGAGGCTAAAATTAATGTTCCATTTATTTCCAATGCAAAAATAAAAGTAGTGCTCAAATACACATGATTTATGCCAAAATACCAACTTTCTCACAGCTAATACCGATAAAATGAAGATTTCAGAGGGAAAATAGCATCTTCAACAGATTTTTCTCATTTTGCTTAAAACTCGTCTGTCCCTTTAGCTAAACATTATGCTTTTATCAATCCCAAAATATAAGCTTGTAATCATACTCATATTAAATGACACAATTCAAAAAAATAAATACAGACCTGTTTTTATGTGATACAACAGCAGCAGTCAGTGCCGCTCCTATTCCACAATTAGTATCTTTGCAGAACTTGAAGTTTATCTGAAAATATTTATATATAAGCATTTGAAGCTATTATAAATCTAATATGTTAAGTTACATAAATTAAAATTTGTTACAACATTTTCCTACTTTTTAGGAAATATAAAATATTACATCCATTAAAACAGTATAGTGAAAAAATATTATAAAAAAGTGGTGATTTAAAAATAAAATAAATAAATAAATCATAAAAACTTTTTAGCGAATCATTAGAAATGTGAGATAAACTTTCCTCCATTTTCAGCTTTGAATCTGGCCTAATAAATCATATCAAGATTAAAAAAAGAAAAGAGAAACATAGATAGAGGTAGCTTAACCTCTAGTTTGGTCAAGATAAAATGAATCTAAACTGATTCAGATACTAATTAATTTCTGTTATTCTGCTAAAAATCACAAAACCATTTTTATAAAAGTTAACCATAAAGCAAGAAATATTTTTAGATTACATTTTTATTGCTTTGTTTTTAACTATGATGTAAATGATATAAATTTAAATTAATAACATCACTTTTTTCTTAAAATCTGTTTACTTGCATGATAATGATATTAAATGCCCCAGACATTTGTAAGTAGCTTCATATGAAATATGAGGGCAGCAAGTTTAATATCAAACATACTGGGGGGGGGGGTTGTCTATTAACAGGAAAATATCTGAGGGCATATCTAAAGTTATATCTTTAAATATGTAGATACTAAAAATATATTTATTTTGTATTAAGTTTTCTGCATTAAATAAAAAGATTAATTACAATTAAAAAATTATACACAATTTATTTCTAATAATGTATTATATGTTTATTGAAATAAAATAATAGTCTAATACTAAATAATGTAAATATAAAGTGAAATAATGATTATTTTAAAATTAATTAAAAATTAGAAACACATAAATAAATAACAAATTGAGTTTACTTGGCTAAAAAAAAACAAATCAGATCTGAATAACTGATAACAGTTCCATATTTCATGAATCTAAGAAAATTCTGCCAATTTTAAATAGCAAGATTCTCTTAACTTTTTTAAGAATTGTAATGATTAAATATTTTGAATAATAGGAATAAAATTGTATATGCTTTTGGAATACCATTTCAATACACGTCTCTTTTAATTACTTTTGGTGTGTGCTTATGCATGATATAATTAAAGAAAATAAGAGTAGACAATCTCCTATAACAAAAGAATATATTAAGTACTAAATTACAATTTAAATTACATTGCAGAGATCAACACAGAGCTCGGAACACAGTTCATGCTACCGTCGCGTACAGTTGTCGACGAGAAGTCTGAGTGAGTAATGATGTCGCTTTGCTGCTCCGATTAAGAACTGGATTTTACACGTGGCGCCATCTCATGAATAGAAGTTGAAGTATCTGTCGGAACGCCACAGTACTCCCCCCCAAGTACCATCGGTACGTTATAAGTACTTTGGGTTAAATTTAACCTTTCTTCCAGATCTGGTAGTTTTAGGTTGCTCTTTAACGGGATGTAAGCTTTCTTCCGGGAGTGATGTTGATGAGGAAGTTGTTGGATCTTGCATTAGAAATGCTGGTTTGAGACGATCGATTCCAATCACTGATTGTTTTGCCATTGCAGATGATGGTGAAATGTTTCGGTGTTCGTTTGACAACTTTGAATGGACCATCATATGAAGGTGTTAAAGTTGGCTTAATTGCATCGTTGCGCACGAATACGTGCGAAGATGTCTCAAGCGCAGGATGTACAAAATAGCTTGGCTGGTTATGCGAAGATGCTGGGGTTGGCGAGATATTGCTCATGGTCTCACGTAAACGTTGAAGGAATGTTGGAGGGTCGATAACTGGAGTAGATTCTGGGTGAAAGAATTCACCTGGCAGACGGAGGGTTGCACCATATAACATTTCAGCACAAGTGCTACCAATGTCTTCTTTGAATGCTGTGCGAAGACCAAGCAAGACTAGGGGTAAGGCTTCTGTCCAGTGTGTGCTACTGTGGCACTTCAGACCTTGTTTGAGAGATCGGTGAAAGCGTTCCACCATCCCATTTCCAGATGGATGGTATGGTGTTGTGCGAATATGGCGAATGCCAAGAAGAGAGGTGAGGGATGCGAACAAGTGACATTGAAATTGTCGGCCTTGGTCAGTAGTGATGGTGGTAGGCATGCCAAATCTTGAAAGCCACTGGGAGATGAATGCTCGAGCTACAGTTTCAGCGGATATATTTTCAATAGGAATGGCTTCAGGCCATCTTGTGTACCGATCAATACAAGTGAGGAGGTAAGTGTAACCATTTGAAGGAGGCAATGGGCCAACCAAGTCTAAGTGCACATGATCAAAGCGTCTTGCTGGAAGGTTAAATTGTTGAATGGGGCTGTGAGTGTGACGGGATACTTTACACCGTTGACATCTAATACATGAACGAGTCCATTCTGTGATGTCTTGATTCATTGCTGGCCAGACAAATCTGTCTGCGATCAGCTTTTTGGTGGCACGGATTCCAGGATGTGCCAAATTGTGCAAGGCATTAAACACTTCACGTCTAAAATTGACAGGAATATAGGGACGTATTCTATTGTTCTCTATGTCACAGTAAATTTTAAGCGTTGGATCAATGTGCAGCGGTTGTAACTGAAGGGAGGTTTGTGGATTTGAGATTAGGTTCTTGAGTTCCTCATCATGCAATTGAGCTTTTGCAATTTCAGAGAAATCTGGGGTAGTGAGGTTGATATTGTTTACCCGAGACAAGGCATCAGCGACACAATTATCAGTACCAGAGACATATCTGATATCTGTACTAAACTGGGCGATGAAATCCAGATGTCGAAGCTGACGAGGAGAACATGAGTCAGAGTTTTTTTCTAAAAGCGAAGGTTAATGGTCGATGATCGGTGAAAATGATGAAGTCGTGTCCTTCCAAGTTGTGCCGGAAGTATTTAACAGCACAGTACACAGCAAGTAGCTCCCTGTCATATGTGCTGTATTTCCTTTCTGCAGTAGTAAGTTTTCTGGAGAAGAATGCCATTGGGGAAAGTCCTTTAGTGGTATGGGCTTGAAGCACTGCTCCTATGGCCGTGTCAGATGCATCTACCATTATAGAGAGCTGATCACTAGGTGAGTGATAAGAAAGTGTGGCTGCATTTGCCAGATCGTGTTTGCATTGCACGAATGCTGCAGATGCAGATTCAGTCCAAGGGACAGCTCGTTGATCTTTTTTTTTTTTTTTGCTATTCTTCAGAAACTCATGTAGGCAGGCTTGTGTTTTTGCGGCATTTGGCAGAAAGCGTCGGTAGAAATTTAACATTGCTAGAAAACGCTTCAGTTCAGAGATGGTTTTGGGCTGAGGTAGGTCGTTAATTGCTTTGACTCTTTCCGGTAAAGGTTTGACTCCATTCTGGGTGATAAGACATCCAAGAAAGGAAACTGAGGGTTGACCAAGTACACATTTGGATGGATTTAGTTTTAATCCATGATCTTTAAGGCGAGTGAAAATCTGACGCAGATGTTTGAAAATGTTCTTCCGCATCTGTAGATGCAACCAGGATATCATCAAAATATGGGATGCAGAAATCGAGGCCAGACAGTACTTGGTGTATGAAACGCTGAAATGTTTGGCCAGCATTGCGAAGGCCAAATGGCATATATAAGTACTCAAAGAGACCAAATGGTGTAGTCACTGCGGTCTTGGGCACATCTTCAGCATGCACTGGGATCTGATGATATGCTCTGGCAAGATCGAGGGTAGAAAATATGTTTGTTCCATGAAAAAGATGGGTACAGTCTTGGATATGTGGGACTGGATATCTGTCAGGGACTGTGACGGCATTAAGTCGACGATAATCTCCACAAGGCCGCCAGTCACCATTAGACTTTTTAACCATGTGAAGTGGACTGGCCCATGGACTTTTAGATGGGCGAATGGTTCCCTGTGCTAGCATGAATTCAAATTCTTTGCGAGCAGCTTTTAGCATCTCTGGAGAAAGACGACGAGGCTTGGAAAATACAGGTGGGCCATGTGTTTCAATGTGATGATGATACACTTCTGGCTGATGAGTATGCTGCCCTGATTTGGATGGGTTTAAAATGTCAGGGAATTCTGCTAATAACCGATGAAACCGTGTGCTGCCCGATAAAACACTTATGTTGGTAGGTACGTTCGATATGTGAGAAGCTTGGCCCTGTGATGTCAGCTGAGTTGTAGCATCAATTAAGCAATTATTCTTGACATCCACTAGAAGGTGGAAATGTGTCAAGAAGTCGACACCAATAATTGCTTGAGTTACATCCGCAATAATAAAAGGCCAGTTGAAAGTCCGGCGCAAGTTTAAATCAAGTGTCAATAGTTTGGTGCCGTAGGTTGCAATTTGGGTACCATTGGCTGCATACAGTACAAGTTTATTAAGTTGGTGAGCATTTGTTTTAGTTCTCGGGAGCACTGATATGTCAGCTCCAGTATCTACTAGAAAACATAACTGAGTTGAACGATCAGCCAGTACTATTCTGTCGATGTGGCGGACATTCTGTTGGCCAGCAGAAGACCGCCCATTTAGTTTCCCGCTTGTTACAAAAGTGCATGGAGGGGCACACTTGCGAGCTTGAGCGCCAAAATTCATATGATAAAAACATATGCCACTTGTGGGTTCTTTGTACTGCGTTCGAGTAGTATTGTGACGAGATTGACTCCTGCTTCGGGCACGAAATTTATTACGTGGGCCCTGATTTGATCGATTGTATCTCCGTGAAGCATGAAGACTTGTAGAGAGTTCAGATACTTTTTTGGTCAATTCAGCCACTTGTTGTTCGAGGGATGAACTGGAAGGTGCAGCATTAGCAGCACTGACATAAGCTGGAGTAACAAGTTCATTAATTTTGTCAGCCATTGCTGCTAAACGGGTTAGATCTTCATTGGAAGCAGCAAGAATTATTTGTATGTTATTAGGGAGACGCGAAAGCCATAGTGACTTCAACAAGTCGTCACTAAAATGGCTTCCTGCCAGATCACGCATTCGTGACAGCAAGTATGAAGGTCGCTGATCTCCAAGTTCAAGTCCTTGTAGTAAAGTACGTATTTTTGAAGATTCACTTTCTGAATAGATTTCAATGAGCCGCTGTTTCAGTTTGGAGTATTTATCACAATCAGGTGGTTTGAGAATTAAGTCATGCACTGAATTCAGAATATCAGACTCAATTGCTGCAACTACATGGTTGAATTTTGTAGAATCCTCACTAATGCGAGCGATAGAAAATTGTGCTTCGATCTGAGCGAACCACAATGAAGGATTATTTTTCCAGAAAGGCGGTGGCTTCACCGCAACGCGTGTGTGATTTGTGGCTCTGGTGGAATATCGTCGGGCATACTGATAGATAATTTTCACTTTAATTAATAAACACTTAACAGCACAAATATTGTAGCATGAGGATACACTATTGATATTTTACCATGATAACAATAAATATTTTAACCATGCAGAAAAAATTTACGTAACGATACACACACAAATAAATACAGGGTCAGCAATTACACACACAAATAATATTTTACCGAAATGCATTTGAAAAGAAACCCTTATTTGAGAAAAAAAAATGATGCGTTCATTTTGTATTGCGCACACACAAAATCACCACTTCACACTGCTAAGGCACTTTCGAAGGAAAAAAGGAAATCACTCCTGTAGCACATGGGAAAAAAAAATTCACTACTTTCGAACACTGAGGGAAGAATTTTGCCGTAGCACGTTGCAGAAAAATTACTGATGTAGCACATTTAGCGAAAATCACTATTGTATCACATTTGTCACAAAAGTTGAATGATCGAAGAATTATTGCACGACTGGCGAAGTCAGCGGAACGGAACAGATCACATTGATGATTTGCTGAAGCTCCTTGCGATGATATGCACGACTTTGAAAAAAAACACAAGCAATATATATCAATACTTCTAGAAATAATTGAAGGGGTACGTTGTAGCATACGTTTAATGTCCATATTCGTTGTTATTTTTAGTCAGTTCTTCAGAATGCCTTGGATGCACGTGGCTTAGGGTCGTTGAAAATCCATTGTCAGTAGCGTGCTCAGTCAAAAGGTCACCACTTTTGGTGGTCGTGTGTGTGCTTAATGCATGATATAATTAAAGAAAATAAGAGTAGACAATCTCCTATAACAAAAGAATATATTAAGTACTAAATTACAATTTAAATTACATTGCAGAGATCAACACAGAGCTCGGAACACAGTTCGTGCTAGCGTCGCGTACACTTGGCGTGAAGTCTGATTGAGTAATGGCGCTCCGATTATTAAGGAAATTTTGGATCTGAATGGCAGCAGTGAATTACAAATTTTTTTTAAGGATTTTTGTTTTGGATTTGATATGGAATTTTAGATAAGTAAGGTTATAATGCATATTATGAACATCACGAATTCCATAGAAGCTGAAACTAAATTTAAAAAAAAATTTTGTGTTTCTAGAAGCCTTAAATATTATGAAATAATATATATATTATTAAAACTAAAATGTACTGTTAGTGAAAAAAGTAAACAAATAAATAACATAAAATAAAAAAGTTAAAGGGATTAAAAATAGTTGGTACTTTAAAAGTACAGAGCAACTGTAAGGAAAGGTTCACAATATTTAAGCAAAATTTGCTATGCTTGTATACCGCTGACTTCAGGGTCATAGCTGGATAATTTATTAGAAATCTCGTTTGTTTTAAAATGCACTATGGGCAGTTATATTTATACATAATCCATAAAATATTATTTTAATTTAAACATTTTTAATTCATATCTCTTTTATACAAGAAGTTATAAAAATAAGATTTTTCTCTTTATATATACACACACATTAGGTAAAGAAAATGGAAATATTTAATTAATTAATTCCTGCGCTTCTGCAGGAGAGGACTGAATTTAAAAGCAATTATTATAGTAATTTTTTGTTAAAAAAATGTTTAGGGCATTAATACTGTCTCATGTTAATTGGAATGAAAGTTTAGAGTCGTAAACATCCCAAAGTCTGAGCACATGTATATACATTCACATAAAAGTGAAACGAAAATATATATATATATATCTGCAGGGTTTCAAAATAAATTAAATTTAAATAATTCTCTTGCGCCATTGCTGCAAGGAATGAAATTTGAATTTAACAAACATTTTCTATTCGTAAAAATTAAAAGTTAATTAAATTTAAATGAAATTTAATGCAAACAAATAAAGGATTAATTATTGCTGCGAACTAATATACAATATCATTTAAATTCTGAGAGCATATGTAAATCAAGTGCAAGTATCAAAATCCATGAATAAATATATAATTCCAAAAAATTATTTATCCTATTCTTCCTATTGCATTTTTATAGTTTTTAGGATTATTATCCTTATTCATTTGCATTTTATAATTTTTTTAGGATTAATAAGCTATCCTATTATTCACTTATGCATTTTTATAATTTTTTTAGGATTAATAATCTATCCTATTATTCACTTATGCATTTTTATAATTTTTTTTAGGATTAATAATCTATCCCATTATTCACTTATGCATTTTTATAAATTTTTTAAGGATTAATAAATTTTTGGAATTATATATTTATTCATGGATTTTGATACTTGCACAGCAATAATTAATCATTTCTTTGTTTGCATTAAATTTCATTTAAATTTAATTAACTTTAAATTTGCTTTTTACGAATAGAGAATGTTTGTTAAATTCAAATATATATGTACAGGATATGCTTTAAATTAGTATTATATAATTTTCAAACTTTTTTGCGGGAAAAATTTAAATAAATAAGAGCATAAATAAAACAATATATTTAATGCATATAATAATAGAAATAAATTATAAAACACGAATATAGATCAAATTGGAATAAAAAGCTAAGTAAGAAAGTTGCAGACATGGTGCAAAAAGCGTATGGGATTCGAACTCACGACTCCAAAAAGTGGACATCGTTACCATCAGCTTTACCACTAAGCTAGGATTACACGTAAGTCGCATGCATATTTTGGGTTATATACATCATCAAGTAAATCAATTCTTAAAACTTAAGTTTTTTGGTCCTATTTCACTTTGCTATTGTCTGAAAAATTCACCAGAGTTTGTTCTTCAGCTTCTAGTACATTTTTTGGAAAAATCATTATCTTTTAAAGTGGCGTTCCGATTGAAGTTAAACGGGCTGCTAAAAATATATTTCATGTGCTTACAAATATATGTTATCCAAAAAGATATATTTATAAAGGGAAATACAAATTTAACATACTCTTCAATGAACTGGAGTATTTAAAAGGCTATCAAATTTAATTTATAATTAACGTTTTTAGTTTTTACCTGTTTCAAAAGAAAAAAATAGCAAATCTTTTAATCATATCTAATTTGCTATAGCAGTTTGATATAGTCAGACATTCATTTTCATTAAAGCTAAATGAGTATGCAGAACTAAAAAATGATTATCAGAACAAATTTTGCTATTTCATGGACTTGGAATTATAATTTTTGCCGCTGATTTTCTTGAACGAACAAGTACTGTAGTTGCAGTTATCTTGTTTTTCTTATCTTTTTTTAACTAAATTCAGCTGATTGCTGTCATTTTCAGCACGCAGATTTCTCGCTATAATGTTAATTCAGAAATAAGTATTTTTTAGCAAAACATTCTTTCCCTATTAGCGAGCGTTCATCGCTACTTCTGCCGCCATTAATTTTTAGTCACTGCACCTGATTGCTCCTTTTTCACCACGTGACCCCAACGCAACCGCAGACATACGGATAGAAGTTGAACATTGTTGAACTCCATCCGTATGTCATCCGTCACCGCACACCGACCGGATTGCAGATGTCAATCAAAGTGAATTCGCTCGCTGATTGGAGAAACGCATACGCAGTAGTGGAAACGGG